TAATATGTAGTCATAGAGTTTATGTGACTTATTTATAAAATATATAAAACAGTAATGCTTACCTCATAGGGTTGTTGAGAGGATTAGATTAGGAAATACATTAAAGTGTTTAGCACAATGCTTGATACAAAAATTTAATATGTAGTACCTAATATTACCATAGTGACTGCAGCATAATCCAACATACTGGAGGAAGGAGAGAAGTGACAGTCAGGATTCTAAAATTCAAGTGCTTCTCCTGAAACTGTGGTTATTTGCAGCCATTGCAAAAGTTTTTCATAGCATTTCTTAAAGTGCTCCTGTAGTAGTACTTACTGGAATTTGGTGGGTTGGGGGGAGTGTTACATAAGGCTGACATATTCTTCTTTTTAAGTTGATGGACATCAGAAGTTGAGATTTTTGGCAATTGACATACAGGAGGGAATTTACAAATGGTCACTTGCTATTACACCATTAAAAACACAAGACATGACTTAAAACCTTTTGTACATTGCTCAGTTACTCTCAGGCACACAAGTCAGTGAGAATAAATACAGGAGTGAAATTTTTGCTGAGAGATGAGCGTTTTTGCCTAGTTATTTTATGTGTCTGAATCTTGGGATCTACATTGTGGAGGGTGCCCTCATTTTTTCCTTTAGCGTGTTTGGAGTACCGCTAGGAATGGCCATGAGTGTTATCAACATTAGTTACCAAGGAGTTATGATAGCCACAGCAGAGAGCTATAGTTCAATCAGGGTATTTTTATAAAATTGATTTTCTATCAAATTTCTGATGGCTTACACACAAAGATGAGATTTTTGTTTTAAATCTGGTGCAGAGGCTTTGAGAAATAGACTGGAATGCTTAAGAACTTTCATCATGTATTCTCCTTTGATTCCCCATTTACTTACAGTTCAATTTCTAGCTTTTTATTCTCAAGTGAGTAGTCTGGTCCAATGACTACTCACTTCTTGACAACTGCAAAAGTAATATTTAACTTTTAAAAACATTTCCTATATATATTTATTATAGTAAAATATAAACCCAATGAATACTAATGCAACATTACACTTATTTGAGTAAATATGACAACCTAGGCTAATGTTACCATCTTCATTTCTTTAGGTTAAGACTCATGACTATTAAAATATTTAACTAATACATATCCCAAAGGTAAAATTGAATACCTAAAGAATTTTAAATAAGGTAAGGTAATTGGTAGACCTATCTATTTAAGAATTCTAAGACCTCCTATTTTTGGCAGAATTGCAATAATATGGGGTAATCAGAAGCATTTATCATGAAAGCAGGAAGATACAAATAACTTTGTGCATTAAAGATGTGATAAAAATTTTAAAGACATATTATATTATTTAACATTTGGCAAGAATTATAAAGTATAGTACAGTTTCCAGATAAACAATTATATCATCCATTAATAAGGTTGATGAGCTCACAGATGTTTAATCAATCACAGGATTACAAAGGGTTTTTAAAGCAAGTACTGAGGCAAACGAATGATCATGATGACTTGCAATGATGATATGATTAAACATTAGTATGGACTTTGAAAGCAGACTTCATATAAAAATGGATGGATGGATGGATAAGGCAAATACCTGTTAGTTCCATTCAGAGTGACAAATGAATAACACTTTTCCTTGTACAGCAAAAGGACAGCTATCCTCTGCAGAGATGTAAGTGAATATGACTCCTTCCTTTGTTCAGGCAACAGAATGTTGACTCTGATGAATACCCCCTCATTATCTGGCCATGTACCTTTTCCCTTCTTGCCTCATAAAAAAGCTGATTTCCTTCCTTTCCTGTCTGATTTTTCCAACTTCCCCTTCAAGACTAGCTTCTTATTGTCAGTCTTTAAATACGTTCATATGTCTGCCATCATAAATATTCATTCTGAGTTCCTTATTAGCCCTTCTAAATCCCACTGCGACACACTCCTTCCTTTCAAATGGAAACTCCTTTCTTGAGTTTTCTACATTTCTAAATTCAAGGAGCCTTTAGGCATATTTATCTTGCTCCATGTTTCTTGGCACTATTGACCACCCTCTCCTTAAAACATGTTTCCCCCATTAGGCTTCCAAGGCTCCACTTTTCCTTATTCTTCCTTGTGTACTTTTTTAGTGGTCATTGGAGCTGAGAGTCCCATCTATTCTACTCCAACTGGTTAATCAATGCCAAATACAGAGTTCCATTCCTCTTGCTTGTATGGGAAGGCCTTGACTATTTTGGATCAGTGAGAAGTGTGAAGAGGAGAGATCTGAAGAAGAATGGTTTTGTTTATAAGAGAGAGCAACTGAAAGCTTGTTTCTCTCTAGATGGATTTGAAAGAAGCAGCTTCTCTGACCAATTATCATTGGAAATCACCTTACCATGAAAAGAGGAACCAGTTTTAGAATAAAGTAAAGAGTGTAAATGGCCAAGTGGAAACCAGGGAAAACACCCTAAGTCTTTAATAATACAGAATGGAAGACTTAATTTGAGGCTTATCTTGGATCTTCACCACTTTGTATGTAACTAAATATTTCCTTCAAGTTCAAGGCCATTTTCCTTGAATGTTCTATAACTTGTAGTAGAAATCATTGTACTGATAAAATGGTTGATTCTTCCTTCTCTCTATTATTCATCTCTTAAGTGCTTGTGTCCTATGAAGTTATACATCATCCTTCTGTCTCACTCATGGCTGAATTATGACATATTTTGGTGATTCTTAAATGTGAATCTTCAGCTAAGATTGTTGAACTTTAGATAAATATAGTCACATATCCACATTGCATTCCCAGTTGAATGCCCTAAAGATAGTTCAGATCAACATATTTCAATCTAAGTTCCCCTCCCTTGCTCATACTTCCACCTATACTCTTTCTGTATCTCCCACCTTAGTGAATGGAACATCATCACTAACTTGACCAAATTAGAAACCTGAATATCAGCTTCAGAGATTTTATCTATCTTTGTTCTCCGTGTCCAGTCAATCACCAGATGCTTTTGGCACCATCCTTTAAGACTGTACTGGATCGATTCATTTTCTCCATTGACCCATTGTTTCCATCTATTCTCCTCTGGATTTCTAGAGAAACTTCTTTGTTGATTCTATTCCTTCCAGTTTTCTTCCTCTCCACGTTAGTCTCTGAAGAGCTATAAAAATGTTCTTTAAAAGAAAATTTGATCACATTCTTTTCCTGTTAAGAACACTTTGATATTCCCCTTGCCATTATCTACAGGAGAAAGCCCAATATAATCTGGCTTTTGCTTTTTCCAGACTTATTTAACATCACTCTTCTGTTCTCACTTTCCTTTTGTGCCCTCCCTAAGCAGGTACCTTTTCCTGTATCCTATCTTTACAGCACTTATCACATCCTACTGTATTTACCTGCAGTGCTGCTTATTATCCAGAAGGCAAATGAATAACATGCATAATGCCTTCTAATCAATGGCATTACCAACTACTTTGGATACAGTAATTTGATACTTAAAATATCTTTAAAAGTTACTGAAATAGTCCTCAAGAAAAAAAATCACCTATGTTACAAATAATATATTCAATTATGTAATGGGTATGTAAGTTATGAAATACATTTATAAAATGAACACTCCTGAGCTTAAAAATTAGAACCACTATTGGACTGAAGAAGCAGGAGAGTACCAACAACAGTAATAGCACCTTCCCTGAACTTATCCCTTACTTTCCTTTAGAGTTAAGCATAATTCTAAATATTATATTTACCACATCCTTATAAAAATAATTTGATGACTCATGCATTTATGACTAAACAGTGCGTTTTAGTTTTATTTGTTTCTGAGACTTACAAATATGATATTCTTGGTGTCTGACATCTTCCAAAACATGTTTTTCCATTAGAATTAGCTTGTAAAGTTTATATACATTATTGTAATAATAGTTTACTGCTTTTTATTGCTGTGAAATATTTCTTTGTGTGAATAACACAATTTATTTGCATACTTTACTGCTGATACACATTTGAGTTTGCCCTTGAATGACATGTATGAGAGTTTTTTCTAGTTCAATACATTTTGAGAATTGCTTAAACACAGGGTATGTGCATGTTCAGCTTCACAACGTAATTTGTTACCAAAGTGATTGTACTTTATATTTCCACAAGAAATGTAAGAGTTTTCTTTACTCATATGTTTGCAAACAACAAGTGTTTTTCAGATTTCTTAGTTATTGCAAGCCTAGTTAATACGAAATGGCATCTCTTGGGCATTTCCTGGATTGATAAAAGGGATCAGTTTTGTTTCAATGTTTATTGGTTTGCCTTGTATTTTACCAAATAAAATGTGTTATATGTCTTTTTATTGCTCAATAAGAGTTTGAAAAAAATACATTATGGAATGCAAATCCCTTGTCTCTCACATACATTGAAAATATCTCCCGCTGGGTTTTAGCTTTTTCTCCACTCCTGTTATGATGACCTATTACGTGGTATTATAAGTACCTACTTATCACTTGATGTACTTCATTAGATTAAGTTTCTTGAGGTAAGAAACTATATCCTATTCATTTTTGTTTCTCTAGCATCCAGCAAGTGCTCAGCATATGTTAGTGGTCCTATTCTTGCTCAACAAATGTTTGTTGAGTGAATTGTTATGACTTTAGAAATGAATCGATTTTTTTTCTGATCAAATTTCATTCTATGCAAATTGGCTACAACACACTGCTGAAGCTAAGAGATAGAAGTCTATGTTACACATCTTTCTGTACTTGCACTAAAAGAGTGTCAGCCTACTCTTAGGAGTGGTAGTATCTGCCGAGTAGTGACAGGATTTTTATAAACATTCATTACCAACTCTGAACACTTGGCAGTGTTCATTATTTTATTTCAATGCACTTATGATTAACCAGACTCCCTGTTGTAGAATAATATTTAGCCTAAAGTTATCACGAAGTTAGAAATGATGTTAAGACACAAGATATGGATTACAGATTACAATGGATGTGCAAGGTTCATGGTTTGTGTCATCAATTTGAAATTGGTTACCTTTTTAGTAATGGTGTCCGGAGGTACATCCCGCCTCCCAAGTGGATAAGGATTCCATTGGCCACTAGGAGATACATCCTCTTGTCCATTGTCTAAAATGTTGCTTTGCTGGGACGGGGTCTATTGCGAAAATGGTATGGCATTCTTTAGTGATGTAATAGAAGTTTACCATAGTTTTCTGAAAAGAGTCCCTAATAATTATGGTAAAATTAATTTTGTTTGATTGTAGAAAAACATATATCCTAACTGGAAATATTATTATATACTATTTACTGAGTAAGAATTCTAAACCAACAGCTTTTTGGAAATACAAGTAAAATAACAATCTTAGAGCTATTTACTGAATTTTAAAGAAAAGTTTAGATTATTTACAGTACCTAAATAAAAAATAATCAGAATAAAATTAATCCATTGTTAAAAACCACAACCTTTAAAGCTTGCTGAATTTGTCTCTTTAATATGATCTTACCATTTAGAATATAAATAGAAACCATATAATCCGTAGTATGGAACTTCCAATATTCCAAGCCATAATCTAAAATAAATTTTATAAAGCTATAATAATTCTGGGAGAATATGCCGTTTACTAATGCAAAATAGTATTAACACTGGCATAGCACAAGATTTATGGTACTAGGCCGTTATCAGCAGGTAGATTGAGGGAAAGGCTAAAACAACATCAAAATATTATGTTATTAGAATCACAGTATAAATAAATCCTGATTGTTTATGATACCAAATTTATTTATTTAGATTAATCATGTTATAATTTAAGCTTCATAACATTTTTACTTTTTAAACTGATTTCTGGCTTATTATTTTTAACAAATAATAATATATCTATCTTTATTGTTACTAATACTAGAAATTTTGAGAGAACTAAATATTCTAGTCTGAGTAATAGCAAGTCATCACATACCACAAGGAAGATAGCCTCTATTGGAAAGATACATGGTGACATATACAAAGTTTGTATGTGTATGTGTATAACATTTTTTGGGGGAGGGACAAGGTCTTTTCCTCCCCTAACTTTTAGGATACAAAAGAACTGTTTGGTTGCCTGGGGAATACTTATGAGACTGACATGGCACGTCATTCTTTGTACATGTGCTGAAGGATCCCTACTAATAAAGCCTGGTTAAAGAATGTATGTATGGACCAGGGCTATGGTGCACACATATAATCCCAGTCACTTGGCAAGCTGAGGCAGGAGGGTTGCGAGTTCAAGGCCAACCTCAGCAACTTCGTGATGAACCTGAGCAACTTAGTAAGACCCTGTCTCAAAATAAAAAAAATAAATAAAAAGGGCTGGAGATATAACTCAGTGGTAAAGTGTCCCTGCGTTCAATTCCTAGTCCAAAAAAAAAATAATAATTGTATGTACAGTGTATTTTGTGTGAGGACTTGTCCTCCAACACCCTGAAGGGAGACTGGGTCATTTTCTTTATAATATGCCACCATGGACTGCTTGCCAGGCTTCATTTGTTTATACAGAATGGTCTTTATTTGTCCTCCTTTAGAACACAATTATGTAACTAACCTATCTGTATTCTGACCACATGCACTTTTTAGAAAGCATTGCTTGGAAATATTTTAAATGGCATTTTATTGTGAGACTCTATTGAATATAATGAAAAGTAAGGAGACAACTCAATTTTCTTCTTTTGCTTTGGCCATGTAAACTCTTTTTTTTTTTCACAAGCTTAATTAGAAAGTATGAAGAAAGAAAAATGTTTCTGAATTTAAGGTCTTGAATTGTTAGTTAGGGATAAATTTATTTGTGTTTGAAGAATAAAATGTACATAACACATTCAAAGAATACATTACCTGAAAATAACCAGACAGCTATCCAGTGCTTGCCTGTCTTTTTCAAGCATGAGTTTTCTAATATTGATCTTCTCTAGGTAAATTTGTTTACATATGCCCATACACATATTTTCTGAATATTAAATATGGAAAATCAAAATACTAAATTAGGCAAACATGGTTATGCAGGTTAAGCAGTACTGACTAGTATTTTATTTATTATTCTTTAGGTCCCATGTCTTTTCTGGGTTGCGTTCTTTGCTAGTGACAGGGCATAATAAGCATGTTCCTCTGGACCAGATCTTTGCAGTACAGGTTTTTGAGAAAAGGCCAGAATTCAATACAGGTTTCCTTTTTTGCTCTCTGTATCATTCCCATCTTCATCTGTTTCCTCTACTACATTTGATTCACTGGCCCAGGCATGACACTTAGTCACTGTCAGAGAGCAATTGAGAATCACAACATTCTTTTTGGCATTGAATAAAATGACTAAATCCATTTTATCAAAATCCTAACATCATCATGGTCTAGGCTTCTCACTAGAGGAAAAATTAGTCTCTCTTTTTAAAAAGGACAATTAACAATCACACCAATTCTCCTATATTACAGGGGACAGAAGGAACATAAACATGCAGACACATAAAATGATCCTTTGATTAGATAGCAAAATTAAAAGAATCTCCTGAAAGCAATTTCCATGATTAATTTCAAGAATTATCTGCCATTTTGGTTTTCTTAAATGAGATATCCTAGTTGTGATTACAAAATGAGATATCCTAGTTGTGAAATACAAAGATCATAAAAATAATTTACTGATGTTGGGTGGTGGCGGTAGGGACTGAAAAGTGAATTATATAGCACATTCACATTCTTTTCTAAAGGAACACCTATTGTATATAAATTTAGTTACTGAACTGTTAAAATTCTATAAAAATGAAAAGGAACAACTGAAATGTAGAAAAAACCAGATGCTATCACTGTTGAAATTTATTATTCCAAAGAAAAATAATCAGACTGAGGTTTAGCTATTCATTTCTCATACAACATTCTTGATATTTTCTTTAAATACTTTAAAGAGTGAAGATGACTCTTATTTCTCTCATCATATATAACCAACTAGAGATAAAAGACATGGAAACTCATCACAATGCACAATTTCCTTAGTTTCTAAATTCTGTATGTTTTTAATATTTCAAAATAGAGAAGGGGCTGTGGTTGTGGCTCAGTGGTAGAGTGCTTACCTAGCATGTGTGAGGCACTGGGTTTGATCCTCAGCACCACTTTATAAAAAATGAATAAAATAAAGGGATATTATATCCATCTTCAACTAAAAGAAATTAAAAAAAAATAGCGATAAATAATAGGCTAGTATGATTTAGTGAAAAAGCAAAAATTTTGTTTGTAGCAAGAAGTGCAATAATGTTCTATGGAAGTCTTGCTGAACAGATATTAGCCCCAAGTTTAGTGTGGACATTTCTAGATTTAACTTTTATGACTTTGATTATTATAAATGACCACAAGTATCTATTGAAAGAAGTGATTTCTAATTTTGCTGAAAAACAAATATGCATGAATATGTGTTTATATGTACATATCTGAGTATATTTAAAGCATGTATATGTCGGACAAATGCATGTCTGTCTGTAGGTATAGGTGTATAAGGATATATATGAATAGCATTTACATCTGTGAGTAGGTCAGCTTAGCTGATCCAGCGCCTTTGCTCTTATCTGCTAATAGATGGGTGCACAATATTCTTGTGAAATTATACTTATTGGCATTTTGCTAAAAATTTTATGAGAGTTATGTTAGAATTTGGCACTTTGCAAAGGACATATCCAGAGGATATGTCCCAAGGATCTATTTTGTTTAGGAATTGGCACACGGTTCATAAAGGCATTATCACAGATTCAAAAAAAATGTGTTAAAAACAATTTGCTCCAAAGTACTTCAAGTGAAATTATGTATGTGTGTGTGTGTGTGTGTGTGTGTGTGTATATACACACACACATATATTTTTTCTTCAGCATGCCTTTTGACAAAATAGGTCTTACAAAGGCAAATATATGCTGAACTAGTTTCTAAATGATTATGATTTTATAGGGTTTAATCTGAAGGTGGTAATGCAATGCCCAAGTGATTTTTAAACCAGCACTTCATTATAATGGCAATGAAGCATCTGTATAAGTACTAACATTATTTTGTTAATTTTAGCTGCTGTCTATGCGGATTTATGTGGATTTACAGGCTGAAGGCTTTTTTCATAATTAGAAAGCTAAGCGAATCTTTTTTGAGGGATAGGTAGCCAATAATAAATGCAACACAATCAATCGAGAATATAGGGCTGAGTTGCCCCAGGTGCAGCATAAATCTTGCTTTGCTTTCAGCACTGGGAAAAAAATGGCATTAGGTAAGTAACCCTTGGCATTAGGGTGAATAAATGCATACCAAAGTTGGTACTATCTGATCCTAAGTCATTTGCATAGATCCAGTAAGAAAGGACATTAGAATTTAAAAATAGTTTAGGTGCAAACATTGCTCTCTAGATTTCTCTAACGCAAAAGCTGGCAAGAGAAGTATCAATTAATTTATCAATTAATAAAACAGATTGGGCCATTTTCTCCCAGGCAAAATTCCATAAAATAAATATTTAATACATACATTTCCATGACTTCAGCCTCCCCTTCCCTGAAATTATAATTCATTTATATTAGTGTCTCATTCTATAAGTCAAGAAGTAGTAGATTCTATGGTCTGTTCTGATAATAGGAATTAAAAATAAGATAAAATTATCTATTTCTTTGATAGAGAAGAGATCATACTGTTTACATTGGCGGCCAGATACCTAGCAAACAGGGAATTAGGAAAGGCCAATGATTTCTTCCCCAGCTGATTGTCTCTGGGGCTACAGTAACCTACATGATTTACGTGTGATTTTCTTGAGTCCATAATCTTTAGCCTTTCACTGCTACCAAGAATATTTCTTGGTGACACTGAATGCTCAGGAAATGCAAGCGGGTCTGAAAAGCATAGGTAACTTACTAGCATTCATTAGGCGCAGTCAACTAAGACAGCATATACTTATGGCACATGGGTAATGACTAGGGTCACTAGTTAAAATATTCTACTTGTATATTCTTTTTACATTCTATAATATTTACTTCTCTAGATTTTATTGAAGATGATGTGAGATAATAATGCATACAAAGGAGGCTTATCAACTATTATGACTCATGTTCTATGAAAATGTCAGGTTTTACAAACATTTGAGAAAGAATCATCGTATTGTAGAAAGAGCTTGAATCTGGGTACCAGTCAGGACCAGATTTAAATTCTGTCTACTATGATGCTAGGTACAAAGACTTCAACAGTGAAACAATAAAAATGCAGCTGAGATATTTTGTGATAAGATCCTCAGTTTCCTCATGTATGGAGATATTTATGTCCTGTGAGGGTTTTTAATGAGTCATGAGAAAAAAATAACATATTTAAAATACTTCATGCCACTTGATAAGCAGCAGATGCCCAGTAATTCATAATCTTTAGTTTTCTCCCAATGGAAATATTTATTTATTCTAGCATGAATCTAGATAATAAAAATGGTAGATTGAACTGACATTTTTGTTACAATGTTGTCTTTGTCTCTGATGACATAAAATTTCAAGACAGTAACTGAGCTCAATTACAATAGAACACATCCAAAGAAGCACATGGAAACATTAATCACATCATAGAAAGTTGCCTTAAGTGCTTTTTGGAAAGGCAGTAAATAAATGATAAATGAAGAAAGAAATGAATGAATGAATGAACAAATAAAAAATATTGATTATTTTATAATTTAAAGTAGCTGATTTATTTGTCAAATGTTCATAAGTACTATTAAATATTCTTGAGAATGGTCATCTATATCAACAACTGAAAATATTAAAGGAAATTAATCCAGTAAATTGATTTTGCTATATTTGTTGACATTCTAAAAATATTTTAAATGATTCCATGAAAATGTTACAGAAGATATAATTTACTGCTTATAGTATAGGAGGCCTATATTTTGTTTGCAATCCACGAAAAATGTACAATACTTGACCTGGCAAGTAATAAGTATGAAAAATTTAGAAATAGTCAAAATACATAGCAAAATCTGGGAGTGTCTTTCCTTTCCATCACATAAATATTTACTATGTAAGTGCTTCATCAAGTGTCAGAATTATTTGATCTTCATTCGGAAATAGTTCTATCCTTAATTAGTTTAGCACAATTTAAGGACAATGTCTGTGCAGTAGAAGAAATTCAGACAGGTGCTCTTTCCTCCTGGTTGCAAGAGACAGCCCTGTGTGTTCCCTTAGCAGGGCACCACCCATATTAGTGTACATTGCACCTCCATTTCCTATACTAACTTTTAATAGGGGCAAATGTGAACTTAGCTTAGTTAGGAAACGTCATTCATTCTTTCTAGGACATACTGGAGTAGTTTGCTACAATATCTAACTGAAGTCAGCCAGGGTTATCATTCAGAAATTTTATGAATAATAGAGACTGGTCCAGAATTTCCCAACCAAGGAATGAACAGTTTTGTCAATTTTATTTACCAGACATATTTATAAATAGATGTTGCACTACATGGTAGTGCAATTCTTATGGCTAATGAGCATATAGGGGCTGAAAAACAATCTTAAATGCCCAAGACACTAATTTTTATTATATTAAGTAGCAAGACAAAATTTTGTTATAATAACTTTTTATGCATTTATAAATCAAAGGAAAATTATTCTTGTCAGCCTCCTCTCCTGCCAAGAAGGATTCAGGGAAATGGTGCATCCATCATAGGACCAGTTAGCAATGGCCAGCACAGCCAGGGATGGATAATCTGAGAGAATGTATTTTTAAGGAAGGTTGACACTAAAGGTTTGCGAAAACAAACCAAACAAATTTCAAATGAAAGCTCTGCAAAGAAGAAATAACTGGGCAGAGGTGAACGGACAGATACTTAGATGGGAATTCATGGGAGGAAACAGAGTCTGGGAGCAATTCGAGACACTCATAAACACTCAGGCCTCATAAGGTTCCTACATTGGTGATGGAGTGAGAAGATGCCTAAGTGCTTAAAGCTTATAGGCCTTGCACTGATAATTTTTGAATCATAAAATCTTTTGGGGGTAATGAAGTACTTTCCCTTTTCATCCCCTACTTCCTCTTCCTCTTCTTCTTTCTCATTAATTTTTTTTGTGTGTTCAGGAAATAAAGTATTAAATGGTAATTTATTCTAAAGTGTTTCAATATTTGAACTGTTCTGAATTGCAATTTAATGTGGTTTACATAGAGAATTCTTGTAGGTTATCTCTATACCCATGTGAGGATGATTTTAAAAAGTCCCTAAATGCATTCTGTATTATTTCTATTATAGAATATTTTAGAGCTATAGTGATAATGAACCCATTCTCTAGGGTACCCCAAGCCATATCATAAAATTAATACAGCAACATATATGTAACTAGTTCATATCTGGAAAGTAAATAGGGCTCCAAATTAGGCAAAATTAGGGAGCTTCCATTTAACATAATTTCAGATGGTTCAGATAATAGCTTTCTTCATAGTGAGATCTCTTTAATAAGCTCAATGGATTTTGAAATTTCATTATTTTAGTTTAAAGATTTGCTTTCTATTTAATCCCCAGTCCCTGTAGGAAAGTTGGCCATGTAAGTTGTGATATCTTATCTATTCCTTAGTGCAGAAAAGTTTGAAGGCCTTTTTGAAATTGATTTGGTTAGCAAAGATGATGGGTGCCGTGGATATCTGAGAGGATATGAGGAACAGGGTTCATTAAAGTGGGAACTCAACTGAAGATGGCCATGCTGATGGTGTGCTGGAGCCAACTTGTGCTGGTTTGTGAGAGCCAGCCATATGTACCCCATTTTTGGGTTCAGTGACATTAAGATGGTACTTTGAAATTGGTCATACTAGGAGTATTTATATTAATTTATATTGACATTAGCAAACACCACAAATCAGAACACTGCTCCCTCAAGAGAAAGTTATTGGCACACCACTGGTGCTACAGGAGACTGAGGACTGGAAAAACAATATTCAAATGCTCTCAATGTAGTTAGGGTGTTTTTCTCCAGAAGATGTTGAGCGATGAAAAAGCTATGCATATAAGTGTCCTTTTGATTTTGTTACTCCATTCACAGTGGGAATCAAACCGTCGAGAGTTAGGGAATTTTATTAAAGACTAATTTGACATTGAAACATGAATTTGAGAACTTATGACCCTCATTTTTCTGAGAAGAAAATTTATTCCACATTTTCATTAATTGTATTAGGAAAGAAATATGTTTGGAATCTGCTATCACTCTGTTTTCCCTATTTTGTACTTATTTTTTCCCACAAAAACTTACTAGGTTAATTACTATATTAATATATAGCTATAATGATGTATTTTATGAAAATGACTCAGTTGCACTGAAATGTAAGAGATAAAACATTAATCAATTTAAATAGGTGAAATGGGCATTCTCAATTTTGCCTAAATAAAACAAGCAGAAATGTTTCTTTGGCAATGAAAATGTTTTCTCTTAATAGCACATTCCCTTTCAAATGTGCTTGCCTTTCCATTTAAAAAGGGGTGAACATGCTACTTTTCCATTAACCTAGGAAGGGCACTGATTGCTAACTTATCCCCAAACTTGCTTTTCTTCTTTTACTTCTGTGTTGTATTTCCCAAAATGTGGGCTGAAAAAGTATTTAGAAGCACCAAGCACTTAATTTCCATTCTAATTTAGGGGTATACAACTTTTCCAAAGAAATCACCTGAAATCCAATAATAATTTCCAGTTCTGTTCTCAGAATGCATCACTAAGAGAAGGTAAGGATATATTTAAAAAAATTAAAAATAAATATATAAATACAAAAAAAAAGAAAAAGAAGAATAGAAAAAATGAAGAATAAGGAAAAAATGAGCCTTAAAGCAACACAAAAAGCCATGTACCTGCTCAATCCAAAAAGCAAAGCTCAATCCCAAAAGCAGGAACCCAATAATCAGTCTAGCTACAAATATACATTTAGCAGTTGAGAATTTAGGCTCTACATTATTTACCCTTGTGCCTTTTGGACTCACAAGAGTCTAATAAACAGGGTTGTATGTACAGCCTAAATACATTAAGTGAACAAACAATATTAATTGGCTTTGGTATGCTGACACATGTAGGGCAGTCCATACTTACTTTCTGAAGAGGTAGTTCTTGATGATCAAATTTAGACTTAGTCTGCAAGTTTAAAGTCATGCTTCTGCCTGCATGCATTGCTGAAATACCTCCATAGGGCAGCATGCCAAGGTTAACTGTGTTGTGTTTGTAAGCAGCATTCTGAGTAGAGGAAATAATCATGTGACAGGATGTGAACACATGCTCAACAAACTGATTATTACATGAACATGTTTAAATTTATAACATTTAACTTTAAGCGGGCAAACAGTAACTTTCTTTTAAAAACATGCACTTGATCAGACAAAAAGCATACAGTCAACAGTGTTAGTTATGCACATAATGAGTACCATCCAAAACTACAGAAAGGACAAAAAGCAAAGAAGATACATTCTGCCTTGCACTTGCTGCTAACTCAAAGGCATAAAATCTGTCTCTTAGATACCATGATAGTAGTGACTTTGGATAAATATTGTTCATCCTGTGGTAGTGCATTAATTTTGAAAATTCAAACAGATAGTAACCACATTTTATTGGCTACAAATCTCATGGTCTCTTTCACATTGTGAGATCATCACATATGAAAGACAAATATTATCTCCTAAATCTGCCTTAAACTAAAGCATTGCAATGTTGAAGCCAAGATCTTTCTTCATTATTGTTCAAGTCTATAGACAAAATATAGCAACTCAGAAAAAACATCTGGTCCAAAAAAATCATTAATTCTGACTATTGATTTGATTGAATCCACTTATTAATTCATTTATACCAATCAAATAAGTTGGATGTAGAACCATATATTGTATTTTTCTAAATAATTACCTTTTAAACAAGATAATTGCATAATTATATTGAAGTAATTATAATGTGTGAACTATTAATGTTACTTGTCAAATGAATTTAAATACTTATTTACATCTTAGCTACTCTTCAACAGATGCATCTAAAATTATTCTAAATAATTAATAATTTTTTTCTATAGAACTTCCTTGGAAAATTAAAACATTTCAGATGCCTTGTTATCAAATCTATAGCCTAAAACAGAAATCTAATAATTGACAGCATTTGGTTTCTTTAACTCTCTTATTTTGAGAAACAATTATCCATAGAAGTTAACTGAGTACAATTTTTCTTAGCTTAAAATTATTGAGCATTACGAGCAGGTAGCTATTCTATTCTGAGAACATTATTTGCAAAGTAATGATTATTAGCATCAACATTTCATTGAGCTATACTGAAAGATTCTTATACTCCTGATGAGGTACTTGTCTACACATCATACTTGTTATGAATTCATGATTATTTCATACAGAGATTTTTCACAGTCACCACACTCAAAGTGAAAAAGACACTAAACATTTTGATCTGGCACTTGGATGATTCCTTAGGGTTTAGATCACTCCAGTCTAGTGCTCTTTCAGCTCCTATAGAAGAGTAGGACATATGGGTTCATGCTTTAAATTTTCTGTCACAGTGGAGATCTGCAGTAGAAGTGCGAGCTTTGTGGTTAAAGTGAAGGGGAACGTAAACATCTTTTATCTAGGGTAGCACTTGGAGCTGCCTCTCTAAGGTCAGCACTGAGATCTTTTGCCAACATTATTTGGACTATTAACCTTATTCCATACCCAGCCTCTAGGCAGTTGTCATGTATGCGGACTCACAAATATCTTATAGTTTCTAGTGTAGCTATTTAGTTTCAGGGATTCAAATGTTTCAACTAAGTTTCACTGGGAAAGAAGCACATCATGTCTGGTGCAGTCAGACTCTGGGCAGAATATTAAGCAGCACAGCTGTGTCAAAACCAGTTTTATGCAGTAAGTCCGTGCTTTGGTGCCTGAGTTCATCTTGTTGAGTAGCTAGGGAGTTTTAAGTTATTCATAACCTGAACTGCTCAGAAGCTCAATTGAAAGGGGGAAAGAAACGCTACTTGGAGAAAACACAAGGAAGAGCTTCTAGGATCTGAAGACTTAAAGCAATACTCTAAGGAAATTTAACTTCTTGGAATTAAATGAGAAACTATTGAATATATGTTGAAGTTGCTCTGGAAAAGATAGGTCCAAGGAATTACAAACAAACAGAGGGTATATGGAGACTAATTAAAAAGGGAGGTGTCATTGTGATAAGAGAAAATAGAGAAAATACACATGGATACACTTTTAGTTACCTGATTCGATCCCCCTCCCCATTCCTATACACCCAGGGTCCCCCCATGTTCTTGCTCCATCTAGAGGAGCCATCTAGTTTTTGGTTGTTGAATCAAAGGAGAGAAACCATGTATCTGGGATAACAGTAAAAAACCCCTGATGGTACCAAATGCTTAGAAATTTATCTTTTCTTGCTTTCTTTCCACTCACTCTTCTGCTGCCTCAAATTACTAGTCATTGTACATATGCTCCACAAATCTTCTAATAACCTTTCTTGACTAGTTCATCTTACCCTGTTACGTATGGTCGTGTCTACACGAGGCCAGAGTTCCCAAACTGTACTGTATTATTTGGCCCCAAATATTTTCGCCCTCCAAGTTATCTGTCTACATGGAGGGCATAACTTGAGGTAAGGCATGGTGACAACCGACCAGGTGTCTCCCACTGACAGCCAGTCATGCGGCTTTGATGAGGCTCCCTTCAATGGGACTGAGCAACCTATTTGAAACAGACATTCTGATGAAATACTTTGCAAGGCAGAACCAATTTCCACACTGAGAAACTAACACCCACGCCCACATTTATTAGTTCACTTTTCCCCTAAAAAAATTGTTTTCTTGTCATGTAGACACGACCTACAATAGTATAATTATTTAAAAGGAATAAGCCTGAAAACATAAAATTCATTACTAAAGAAATACATAATAAATGCAGTGACCTGTGTTTTTTGCAGGACACAAAATAAAATAATAAAACTACTAAGTGAAACATTCCAATAGCATCTTGTTACCCAGATCCCCAGTTTACATAGAACATTTGAACTTAGAAAATGAGAACAAAAGGCCCCAATTTCACACACACACAAATCCTCAATGTTCTAGTGTCACTGCAGAGCACACAAAGCCTTCTACACCAAAGCCACGAGGTCTACTGAATGATGACAGTAGGTTGATAATAGTTTTAGAAAGTGAAGTACCAGATTTCTCTTAGATTTGAACAGGCAACAACAACAAAAAAGCAATTAAAGGCTTTATAATTTTTTTTTAACTCTCCCAATCACTGGGCTGTGCATTCCATACTATTCTGACTCAATTTTTAACTGAGTTAGCATTGATTTTCTTTCTTTTTTTGCAATATACATCCTAATTTGTATGTCTATAGTCTTTATATAAAGACATCATCTGCTTTTGTTGTCTGTAGTAAAATTGGAATTTATATATTTTCTTCTGTATAAAAACCAATATTCTAAATGGCAGGGTTTTTATTAAATAAAATAGTGTGTAGGAGGGCATTTAACCTCTGCTTATTTTCTTTTTCTTTTTCTTGCTGGGAAGATTATTGCTCATTAGAAGTAATAAGTTTAGTAGTCCCATAGCAGTAACTATGTGCAAATTTTATAAACAGATTGCCCGAGATTAACATAAGTGAGTCCATGAAGAAAAGGGTGAAATACTCACTTTTTATAGATTCAATAAAAACCATACTCTTTAGGTCACCAGAGAGCAGTTTTGTGTCCTAGGAGAGGCATTTTTTGCCTTGCCTTAATGGCTAGAAAACAATTGGAAACACCATCCCATATGATAGAGTCAAATTCTTTCTTACTAACAATAGTTAGGCTAGATTTGATAAATAATTCACTTGCAGGTTATGGACTCTCAGAAAGCATTAAGCAATACCCATGAAAAACTATTAGGATCATTTCCCCCCACAATAGAAAGACAAATAAATGCTGATCATCTCTCCATTCATGTATTTCATGCTTCACTACATGTGCTTAGAAATGCCAAAAAGAAAAAAGAAAAAAAAAAGTAAAACTAAAGGCAGGGGGGATATTCTTACAGAGAAATGCCAAACATACCCTGTCTAACCTTCTAGCTTCTATATGTCTAAGCAGCTGTTGTCTCCAGTCTGCAGGCATTTTACCACAGCTCTCCTCTCCCTTCACAGGGGTGGGCCTCGTCTTTATATCACTGTTATCTGATGGCTTGTCACCATAGTTACCCAAGTTATAGTCAGACGGTATTTTTTCCAAAAGAGCTGCCATAGTTGGCCTAGCTGAAACTGGCCTGGTTTGGGAGGCACCGTAACTCTCTGTACTGTAGCTTCTCGCAGACAAGGGCCTCCTCTGGGTTAGGTTTTTAACTGGAAAACTTCCCGCCTGAGCTTTCACTTCTTGATATGAAGGATGTTCGTCTTCATACCTGCCATTCCTCTTCAGGAACTGGGACTCAGTCACTGTCACGCTGCTTTGGCGATCTAGCCCTCCCCTGTATGGAGGTCTGCCATACCTATCACTTGGTGGCAGCTCGTGAGGTTCACTGACCCTTCTAAACATGGCCATTTCTGTGGAGCTTGCCAGGGAGTCAGCTCTCCTCAAGAAGCCTGCCCTGGCTCCTTGGCTTGCAAACTGGGCATTCACCACAGCATCCTCATTAACAGATGGCTGAGAAAACGAGAACATTTGCTCCATTGGTGGGTATCCTCTGTAAGCTCTAGGACTAACCAAATCCTTGGCCATGTTTTTGCTGGACGGTTGCACATACTCTGAATTGTGTTGAAAAGGGGGCGGTATCCTCTTGTCCGCTTTAACTTCCACTGCTCCTTGAGGATTGAAGCTTTGGTCAAACTGGTAGACTTTTTTTGTCATAGAAGCTTTCTGCTGTTGTGGCCCTTTACTGCTACCATAAGTGAGCATCTCGTCATCCAGCATTGGGACCGACTGGCTTCGAGACATACTGGACATGCCATGCTCTGGTCCCAACAGTTTATCTGGTCGTTCGTGGCTTCCTAAGTGATCACTTCCAGAAGCATAGTTTTCTAATGGTATGTTATAAACCTTGTATGTGCCAATGTCAATCTCATCGATACTCTGTGACTTTTTGAATTTATTGGACTTTATATCTTTCATTAGTGGGGAAAGCCTCTCTGTGCTTTTGCTAATTGAAATAACACCTTTAGAAGAATCTGGGCGGCAGTGGATTTGAGAAAAGACATTACCAAGACTCCTGTTGGGGTTGGAATCATGATACTCCCATGGTACTCCTGGAGAAAAAGGACTGGGTATTTCAGTAGATTCTTTCAGATGGTCTTTCCTTTCAGGCAAAGGGCTGGTAGTGGGGGTTGTCTCTAATTTGGAAGGAAAAGCGGTCCTGTCTTCAAACGGACTAGGGGTTCTGGTCCAATTCTGCCAAGGATTGGTAGGAGGCACTTCTGTTTCTGGCGTGTGTCTGTGTGTAGACTGCTCAAGTTCCAGGGGAACACCAACAATCCTATCCTGCCTGATTAAAGGCCTGCGTCCGTGAGAAGATGTGCTTCTAGACTTCGAACTCAAGAGAGGATTATTGTTGGCATTCTCAGCTGCGGTTTCCTCAGAAACAAACCCTGTGTTGTCGTAATGGGATCCGTCAGTCCAGTTGTCAGTGAAAGCATCGCTCATTGGCAGGCGGTCGGGTCTCTGTGGTAGGTTCCCTGGGGGAACAGCCTCTCGCTGGCTGAGCAATGGCTTTGCATCCAGAGGCTGTGGGAAAGATTGTGCAATCCTGTAAACACAAAGGGAAGAAGACATATGAAAATGAGGAAGAGTTGGTTTCTGTTAAGATGAACAAGCACTGAAAGTGGGCCACCATGTCTGTTGAGCTGATCATTCATCCCTACCTGACTTAGGATTAAGACAGTATTATTTCATGTCCTTTGTGTCTCCGAAATCCACTCCTTTACCCTCTTCTTTCACTTCTTTCTAGTAATAATCACCTTCCACTACATTTTAAAATTTACTTACCTTTGAAATTTATTGTATATCATCTCGTGTCCTCTGCTAGAATGCAGATTCATGAGGGCAGAGATCTTTTTCTCTTCAGGCTAAGAAAAGGGCTTGGCACATAGTAGGTGTTAAACATGTATTTGTTGAAGGAATGAATGGATGACATGTAAGTCTCCAGTGAAGGCCCTCAAACCTGATTGGTAAATACAATCATCTGATTCCTAGTATTTATTCCTGGAGATTCTGATTCAGTCCATTTCCAATATATTGGTTGAGAATACTTTTCTTAACAATTCTTGATATAACTGATGGATTCAAAATGTCTTCAAATAAGACCAGGTCTTGAAGATGCTAATACTATTGTTGAAATATCAAGCACATTCAGGTATCTTTTTTTAGAATGTGAAGAATGACTTTGTGTCACTGGCAAATTTATAACAGTGAGTGTCTCTAGTATATCTTTAGTATATGTTCCTCTTTCTGGCTTTATTTAAAACCATTTGCACACCAATAATATCAAATTATATATATAAAATCAATATTTTACTGGGGATTGATCTCAGGGGCACTTGACTACTTGAACACTGAGCCACATCCCCTGCCCTATTTTGTATTTTATTTAGAGTCTCACTGAGTTGCTTAGCACCTTGCTGTTGCTGGGCTCGGCTAAATAATGCATATTTTATTCATAAAGGAAAAACTTTTGTGGGTTTCTCTTAACTGGAAAAAAATGTGCATTTAGAAAGCATGTTCTAAAACTACTTTGATTAATATAAGCTCACATAAAAACTTAGAGTTAAGATTTTTTAATCATGGTCATTGATGAAGAGAAATAATCATTGATGAATTACTAAAGAAGGCATTGCCAAGAGGGAGCACATTAGCAGTAAAATAGGAGTAAAGGTTTTGACTACCTAGATCATATGACAACTTTTGTTACTTTTAGTATAAAACTGTAGCCATAAATTATAAAACTGAGCAATTAGAAGACAAATGCTACTTCACTGAGTCATTTTATTATGCAGTGTGGCTTTTGTTTCTTTCATCTGTAAAATGGGAGTAATAAAGAGTGGGAGTCATTTTGCAGAGCATAAGTACTTTTACACGCATCCTAACTTCAGGTGATGATAAATGATGATGGTGACGGTGATGATGATGTCAACGATGGAAACTGATGAAATATTTACTTTGTGCCAGGCACATAGTGCTTCACATTGCATCTTATTTTAGCTCATAACATCATTTTGGATGGTGAATTGTCCACATGCTTCATAAACATGTGTTGGCCAAACACAATTTTTGACTTTTAAGTTTTCTAGTTCTACCATGTCATCATGTTAATCTCCTACCATCACCCACTTAATCAGCTGTCTCACCCTGTCAGATGGATTCATTTGCTCTTGGAAGTCCCAGGTGAACTACATTTGCTTACCTGCCCCTTCTGTCTTCTATACCACTCATGTGTTGAATACAATCCCAAAATTATGAAGATTCCATAAAAAAAAAGTTGCTGGAAATAAGCGATTGGGAACAGAAAAGTGGGAATTCTAAACACACCTGTTACCCCACAAAGAATTATGAACTGCATCTTTAGCTGTTGTCTGCAAGGACCCCACTTTAACCCGGGTGTTAGAGGATCCTGAGGAAGCCTGGGAAGGCGAGTAGTCTGAGTAAGTGCCTGAGGAAACACTGTTATTCAGACAGTGAGTTTTGTCAACTTCAGACTCATCAGTTGATTCTGAAATTTAAAGGGAAACATGTTATAATGCTACGAACATTGACAAATACAAAAACAGAAAAGTAAGTAGGAAAAACAAATTCTATACTGATTAATGTTAGAACATGTATTTATAAAATAATTTTAATAGACTATGACATATCATAATGTACAACTGGTGATTCATCATGCACATGCATTTGTAGCATAATTTCCACATCAGCTTCATGATGTTACCTTTTTTGTCCTTCCCTAGCAGAACAAGTTTGGGTGGGTACAGAGGGGTCTCAGCTAATGAAGGGTGAAGTTCCCCAATCCTCATTTCATTAGCTGGATGAACAAAAGAATCCTGAGAGATATAATAATACAGGACAAGGAAAGTAAACATTTAAACAATGGTTAACCAAGATGGCAATAGCTTTATTTGGCTCAGATAAAAAAAAATGTGACTCTAGAATTTAATTGACTATGGGGCATTGGGAAAAAATGAACCATTATGTATCTCTGAGTTGAGCACTCTTTTATTCATCAGGCATAAGTTTGACTGCTGTTTTTATGGCTGGCACTGTGCAAAGAACTGTAGAGTTTCCAAAGAAAGACAAAATGTGGCCCTCTGAGAGTTTGCAATCTACCTGGGGAGATGAGATACAACTCATTTTAACACAGTACTGAATTTTAAGGTCTACATGAGTAGTAAGATCTCTACATATATATGATATATACACATGTAAGACATCTAACAGATGAATGCTCTAAGAGTTCTAATGGAAAAGGATATCATTGACCAACAGGATTTTTTTTTTTTTGGTCATCCCTTGCCATATGAATGTGCCCTAGGGTCCTAACCTGCTTTTTCTGCCACTCTCCCTCTTAATTGCTGCTGTTTCTTGGGTGAGTATCTCCTCCACTGCTCTTGTCCTGCTATGCCTTCTTTCTAAGTTTTCTAATGACCAATGTGGCCTGCTAACTCTTCATTCTATATCCATTAATTGAGTGTAATGCAGTTCAATGGACAAGAACATAATTTTGTAACGAAAAATGAACACGTAAAAAAACCCACGAATTTTAAACTTCAGTAATTCAGACTTTAAAATTTTTTTTTTAGCTGTAGATGGAAAGATGGACACAATACCTTTATTTAATTTATTTATTTTTATGTGGTGCTGTGGATTGAACTGAGTGCTTCACACATGTGAGGCAAGCGCTCTACCACTGAGCCACAACCCCAGCCAGTAATTGAAATTTTTATTCCCACTTAACCAGATAGTGGAAGCATTAGGCAAGGCAAAATGACAAATGCTTACTTTCTTCTAGATGTGAAAATACCATAAGTAAGTACCAATAAATATCTATGCATGGCAGCTATCTTTATGTATCCTTTGCCTAAAATTAATGTTAATTCAAGTTCAAAATTTTTCAGTTGTTTCATATTCTTAATATCTTATTATTTTGGAACATTGACAACCTTAGAAACATTTTATTTCATCAGAGAAAGAATATATTTGAGGACAAAAATATTAGAAATTAAAAAAAATCTGTCCAATAAATAATTGGTTGTTTTAATGAACAGCCAGAGACTCTTATTATGACTTTCATCTATTGCCAAGGACTCCACAGAGACAGGCTTAGGTCTTTGGGTTTTGCAGCAATACAAATCCATTTCTTTAACTAATGCTTAAGTTCTGTCATTTAAATTTTGTTTGTTTGTTTGTATGAGAATATTTGCCTGTAAAAAAACAGGGTATATCTAACGTGTTGATTTTTAAAAAGGAATATTGCAATAGAAGACAGAAAGACCATTTAGTTACCCTTTCATTGTCTTGCGGCAGATTCTGAGAACAAACTCAGGCCTACATATACAATAGACAAAGATCCAGCATTGGAGCATGATTCCTCTGGCTTCCAGGCCAGAGATCTTCCCCTATAGTGTGTTACCTCCCCGCGGGTGGGAACATTAAGGACTTAAAAAGAAGAGTCAAATTAGAAGAGAGACAGGAAATAAAGTGGGGTTGATGAAAATACTGGGGCTTAAGAGAAAAACCTACATTTTTATGGATTTTGAAAATAATCTCATAAAATCAGCATAAAATCTTTTTTTTTCTTTTATACTCTGCTTTTATTAGACTAATTAAACCACAGAGGGAAGTACCCTATTACAGGGATTTTACTGACATGTAAACAAAACAACTAACATTTCCTAGAGTCAGTCCAGTCTTTTTGATAAAGTTTAAAGGTGTCACAATAAAGAATAAACACCTTTATATACCTACAGAACAATTTATAAGAAGAAGGTATAAGCCTGAGAAACAGCACCATGAAAGGCATAAAATATGTTGATTTGTCAAAAAATTTCAGGTACAAGGTGTCATATTTCCATCTTATTCCTATTTTACCATTTATTAATCAGGTTATCTAGGGCAAGTTAGTGTACTTCTCTGGGCCTTATTCAATTCATCAGTAATATGAAGGTACTAGATATTAGGAACTGGTGCTAATTTCTATCTAGAAATAACAAGATTATGAATGTAAAGATAACTTATTTGAGTGAAATAATGACTTAAAAAGTAAATATTTTTATAATACCTAATACAAGCATAGGAATTTTGTTTCAATCAAAAATATGTAAATAAATAAAATAAAGACACAAAAAGCATACCAAATAGTTGTACAAGCACAGAACATTAGCATAACTAAGGGTTTAACTTTCTCATTCTTATGTCCTATACATTCAATACTCAACTCATCTTGTTTGTATAGATAAACTTTCAAACTTGTATCCCAAAATCATGACCAGAATTCTGCATGGTAGGTATGGTCTGACTCAGGTATATTTTTCTGACCCTGCTCAAGAATGTCTGTTGTGAAGCAAGAAGAGCCTTAGTGGCCAGGAAAATAGTATGATTATCAACTAGTGGTGAACTTGCATCTCTTCTTTAGAGTTTTCTGACTCTCCATGTGAGAGGATGAAACTGCTGAAGCAAGATTGATAAATGCTGCTAATCCAGGAAAATGTTCTTATTTGTATGAGCAAAGTGGGTGTGGTGGTGGTGGGGGTGATGATGATGATGATGATGATGATGATGATGATGATAGTGATGTTCCATTAGTGATGGAGCATAGATTATATATCTGCAACTGTGCTTTTATATTTGTATTATAGATATAATTATATAAGTATAAAATTTGTCTCTCAATTTATTTAAAAGACAACCTTGTTTTTAATTATGTGTTATTTAAAAATATTTATCATTATCTTTGTTTTACAGAAAAGCAAATGGAGGCACAGAAAGGTAGAGTTATAATTCCAAGTTGCAACATTAAGAAGTGATAGAGCCAGGATTTGAGCTGGATCTGTCCAACTTCATGGTGTTCTATAGGATATTGTGTTCACCATATTGTCTATCCTAAGAAAAGCTCATTTATCAAATGGGTTTTAGAGACCAAAGTTAACTGTCCAATAAAGGGAATGAGTCTTTGCATTTGCCTCTTGAAATTCTTTTACAGAGGCTAGGGAAATCAAGTGCTTTTTGGAGAAGCTGAATGATGTTTTGGGGCTACTTGGAAGTTATTGGTAAGCAGTCAGATTTATCAGGATTTTCATTATAAGGACATTGAACCATATTTCCTTCTGGTGAGGAGATAGAAATGGAGAGGAATGAAAAGGTAAAATTTCATTTTTTTATTGCACTGCCTATCCACTGTTCAAATTTTGTCTATTACTGCCATACAGAAAATGGTTGAAGGCAGATATCAAAGGGAAAAAAGTTCCTTTCTGAGCTTTTGAGAGTCCAGGTATAGTATTAATAAACGCAATTTAAGAAAAATTTCAAGGGTAGCTGACTATTTTCTACTTTTGGGAGAAAGATAAGGTTGCTCTATAGAAGGAAATTGGACTGTGTGTCCTAATAAAGGGAAAATTTCAGAACATATTTGATTGTGGTAGACTTGGTGAACAGGTGTCAGGTAGGGACCTGCAGAGGATTAACAACATATGGGGCAAGGATTGGCACATTATTCTCTTGAGGAATGGGAATTATCATTTACTGTAGCCTTTCTCTGTGTCAAGAACTATGCTTGGAGTTGTGTATAAATGCATAGTATCATCTGATTTCATCTCTGCAAAATCTCTAAAAGGGTGATTTTATTATTTGTATTTTTAAAGATGAAGAAACCAAGGCTCAGGAAGGTTTTAATGATTTGACTTGTCAAGGTCATATAATCAGTAGCAAGGTCAAGCCAGGATTTCAATTGATGTCTGCTAGACTTAAAAGTCCCTACTCTTTGGTACCCAAATTGTGTTCTGAGGCATCCAAGGGTGCCACTGCTAATTAACTGGGATATCGTGGATTATATTAGATGTCTGAGGGAAACAAAGCAATATTTGACATCAGTCACACAGTGCAAACTGCCAGCTTAAGCAGCTCTCAGTTTCAACATGAGATTGCACAGTCTCTTTGATGACAGTCCTTGTGAAGATGGATTTTGGATGGGTGCAGTGATCAAAATGTAAGTGCCGCTTGCAAATCATTGTGAAACAGAAATTAGTCATGGTGTCCACTATATTTCCCATGTTTGAGAAAGTAGGTAATGTCTAAAGGGTGCATGCATTTCAATAATATTTTGGTTTTGCTTACCTAAGAGTGAGATAAAAATATCTTTTTACTCAGTTTATGTACATTATTTTTCAATTTTCCACTACTAAGGAAGGCATAAGTATCCATTAAGTTGTATAACTACTTAAGTGGAACCATTATGTGTTTATTTATTTATTTTTGGCTGAGGATCGAACCCAGTGCCTCCCACATGCTAGGCAAGCACTCCACCACTAAGCCACAACCCCAGCCATTATGTTTTTTTTTGGTTTAGGGTTTCTGTAACAAGATTACTGAAATGCTATGGGCATTCATATACCAACAGTGTACTTAACACACAGGTGATAAAGCATGAATAGGTAAGGCAGCCAACAATCAACAAATAAATAATTCAGGAAAAACATCAGAAACTGTCTTTGACATTAGTAACTAACTCAAAGTGGTTGGACAGACAGACATGTTAACAAATTTGTGATAGTATATGACTATACCAATCATTAATTTATTGTGCTCCTATACTGTACTAGGCACTACTGTGCTAGATACTGGAAATTTAGATACTCCTCAACTAATGCTGGGTTTGTATCCCAATAAGTAGAAAATATCATTAAGTCACAGTCCATTTAAAACTGACCTGCCAAACATCATAGCTTAACAACACAGTACCCTGTAGAGTGTAAGTTTTTACACTTACAATCTTGTGGCTGACTGAAAGCTGTGTCTTGCTGCTGCTTCTCAGTGTTACAAGAGAATATCATAGCACATAATGCTAGCACAGGTAAAAATGAAAAGTAAAAATTCAAAGTGTGGTTTCTGCTGAATGCATATTGCTTTTGTACCATCATACAGTTGAAAGATCCTAAGTTGAACCATCACAAGTCAAGGATCTTCTGTATAGTGATGCACAAGACAGACATGGTCCCTGTCCTCATGAAATTCAGTCTGAATTCAATAAGCAAAATAATCATAAACATTTCATTCTGTTTAATGCAAATAAATAGGGTAATGTGATAGAGAAAAATCAGAGAGTCTAACTGACCAGGGTTATCAGGGAAGGCTTCCTGTTCAGGGGAACTTTAAGCTGAAACTTGAAAGTAGAGGAGGGCTAGCCATATAAAGAGCTGGGGAGAATCTAAATGCAATCTCCAGAGGCATTTTGTAAAGAATAAATGGGAGGACAGGGAACCTATATGTCTACCTGCTCTCCTTATTCTTTAGGCTCTCCTGGCTCTTTGTCTAGCATAACACATGTTAAAACTCTTGGCATAGAGTTGCCAAATAAAAAAAGAGGAAAAAATATTGATTTATTTGTTCCTCCACTCAACTGCATTTGTTACCAATATACCTTGTCTATTTCTTTCTGTGTTTGCTTCTGGTTCTGCCTACCTCTACTCTTTATTCTTTTTTCTTTTGAAAGACCACTGGCAAGGCAACAAGGAGGTGGGAACAAGGTAATCTAAGAAACTGACGGTTTTGTAAATAGGTTATAAATTATCAGACTGCAGAACAGAGGTGAGGACTTAAAGCGATCTATTCAGGTGAAATGTACAGGCTTTGGCAAATTATTTGGGACAAGGAGTGGAGAGAAAGAAGGAAAAAGAAATCAGGACTCTTCTCAAATTTCTAACTTCAAAGAACTCATAGAAAATGGTGCCAGCTGAGATAAAGATTGAGAATACAGGAATGGAAGTGAGTTTGTAAAGCAAACATTTAATTTTTTAGAATTGTTTACCTTGTAGTGCTGTGGAACAATTTTAAGATTTATTATCTCTACTACTCTGTGGGATTATTATTAAGTTCATGACCAAAGCCATCTCTTCTCTGTATCACATTAATCCCAAATCAAGCAATTTTAGGAGCTTCTTATTGTTGTTGTAAATTTACTCAGTTTACAGGTTTCATGACTACATAGTTACTTTGATATTAGGCTGTGACTACATAAAATTTAAATACATAACGTATATGTGCATATTTAGTGTGCACTTGCTAAATATTGACTTCTTCACTTTGTATATTGTTGTAATATCTTAGAGATGAAAGAAAAGTCTCTTGCTTTGCTATAACGTGTAATATTTTGGAAAAAAGAAAATACAATGATACTTATAAGAAAAAAGCAATGCAAACAAATACTTAAGACATTTTCTTCTTTAGATTTCCAGCTATATTCCCCTCTTCGAAGGCAGACTGTCACCTCTGCTGTCAGGTGTGCATATTATGGTTATTTTTGCTCAATATCTTTTTTTTACCTCTCTTTTTCACTGTAAAATCCAATCTTTAATATGCATTCAGCCCTAACTTAGAGCATTATATTCTCCACCATACAACCAATCATGTGATCATACTTTATATAATATGTTCTCTTATCATTTATGTGTGTTAAGTTTATCTAGCTGGACTTAATTATTTGGGAACTATGGGCACATTTTACATTTCTTTTTTTTCTCTCAGTGATTAGCACAGTGCTACATATGCAGTTGGTGTTTAATAAATGCAATAAATTGATGCTTTGAAATGCAGATTTGTAAAAGAGTTTCATCAATCTAGATTTTTGAGAATATGAATTTCCAGACTTATCATTCTAATTATGTGTCTAATGAAGATAAAAAGATGATAACTAAATTAGCTGAAGAGTTGATGAGATAGTAGAGGTGGTATAAATGTAGTTGAATTCTTTTCAGACCACAAAGATCAATAAGGATGAATTTCCAACTCATTCTAAAATACAGGAATTAAGCTTCACATGGCCAGATTTCATAAGCCTAGGTTTCACTTATCTCTCCTTTTTGTTGTTAATAGTAATGTTTTCTGAAAAGGTTGTAACCCAAACCAAAAATATTTTAAAATATTTGCTCTAAAATGTATTAGGAATTTTTATAAGATTTACTGAATGAAAAATCTTCAGTTAGTTTGTCCTAATGACTATATAAGTTTGGGGTAGCCAAAATAACATCAATGACATAATGCATTCCTTGGCTAGGCCATACTGGGTGGCAAACTGTTCGTTCTGTGTATTGGAACTTTTGGAGTTGTAGTCATGATTTTAGGGCATGAGGGCATCATTTATCTGTGATTTATTAATTGCAACCCTCATAATTTAAAAGAATAAACATTGTATTTTTGGAAAAAAAATGCGCTTATTGCACTTATCAAGGCAGATCTATTCAGTTTAAAAAAGAAACCAAATTACTTAGAATTCAAAAAATTCCAAACCACACTGGCAATTACCAATAACCTTCAAATACCTCCACTGTAATCTCCTTTGGGGCTACCGGCCACTTGTGTTCAAATTTTTCTTTCACAGTTTGCTCCGTGTTAGCAGTTGGATTTGAATTCTCAACACGTACTCCATGGCTTGGCTTACCCACCAGATTTTGAACAGATTTTACCATATTCTTTAAATCCTCTGGGTAAGGAGTTGGATATCGTTTTAGGTTTATTTCAACCTAGAAGTTTATAAAAAGAAATTTAACAAAAAATAATTTCAGCAAGCATGCTCACAAAGCTACTCCATTTTATGTGCACTAGTACAACCAAATGCAATACAGTGAGTGTTGAGCTGCTTGAGAAAATGCTCCAGCATAGAACATATAGCATTCTTCTCACATTCAATCTCACGGGACTTCCCCACTCCTTCCTACCCTTCTAGATGATAAACAGTTTTTGGATTATATCCTATCTTTAGACCTACCTAGATGACTGGGATAGCAGTTAAGTGATTGGTAATCTCTGAAAAAAATTTAATCAAGTTATTACCAGCTACTATCATACTTTAGAGACTGTTCTCTATATTAATTATCTATAAATAATAATAATTATATTAAGTGACATCTTTGGAGTATCAATGCAGGCAGTGGAAAGAGACCCCAAAAGATTTACAAGTAGAGTTGTGTGTCCAAAAATGGGGAGCTGACAATATCTTCTGCCCAAATATGCATTCGCCCAAATATATAATTAGCATGTTACATCAAAAGGTAGGATAGTAATTCTTGTTAATCCTTAAGGAAAACATGCTTTGGCTTTCCAGTTTAGTTTTTAACAACAACAAAAAATTTAACATGCTTCTTAACAATGAAGAGAAATTAAAAACTTAAGACTATTTTCTAAATTATTTTAAGTAAGTATGTGAATTCTGACTTATGTTTATCTGTATATTTATTTCCATTTTAAGACATTTTGGGTATCAACCTGACCTTCAGGAACACAAATTAATGACTATTCTTAATGATAAATTATTTCATAGAGATATCCTACAATAAGAGTACTTATTATAAGGTATTTAAAAATAGAATAAATGGAAGTTTTCTATTTTTCATTAAGAGGGAGTGGAGAAGAAATACCAGGGAGATTTACTTGGCCTGGCTTGTTCAACAATCATGCCTTTAGAATCTGAGTAGAATCAACTTTGCAAAATGAAATGGTTTATGTGAGCGTGGTGAGTTATGTGTCTGTGCAAAGTGCCTATGTGAGGGTTGGGGTGGGAGGAGAGAAGGTGGAAGAGAAGCTGAAGGCAGAGGACAGAATGGGACATAGAAGGAAAAGGAGAAGGAGGGAGAGCCCCCTCACCCAAGTCACTCATGGAATGTAGGAGCTATGATGGTGGCACAGATCTGAGGATTATGAATAGGAATTCAAACGCTTTTGCTCATCTGCAGTTTTAGCGAATCCACCAACTGTGTTATTCTTCATAGTATTTTGTCTTCCTTGTGGCTCATTTTCCTAATCAAATGCTGGGATTGGAATTCATTAGATGATTGCTGACATGCCTTTCAATGTTAAAAATATGAAATTACTTGTCCAATACATATTAGGAAAGCAGATGAAAAATCAGTTAATTTTGCTGGAGTGTTTAAGTGTAGTTTAATCTTGTACACTCCCAAATAAATAAGAATGAAATTAATAATACATAGAAATACAGTCATAATAACCCAAGACAAAGTTAAACTTTAGAGAAAAAAACTGTAAGTTGTTAGAATATAATATTAATACACCCCGGGGTAATTAATTTGTAATGCATTCTTAAAAAAACACAAAAACAATGATATTCATGCCAGACAAAGTGCATTGGGATGCATGCATTCATGGATCTGCTGTTTGGATTAGTATAAGGAATGCGAATTATGAATTAAATCTAATTTTTAAATTATATTGTTGAACTTGTTTAAAAGTACTAGACATCAAAGGGCTAAAAGTCAAAAAACTACATTTTCTAAAAGAAAAGTAAATTGTAGAATGGTATGACTATCATGCCAATTAAGAATATCTTTTTATTTTTAATAACCAGTGGTATATGAATGAAAAATATTCTAAAGTAGGGCATTAAATTAAAATTCTATGCAACTTAAAAAATTCTCAACACTAAAATTACACATAAATTGAATCAAAGGTAAAAGAAATGTGGGATGTTCTTCCTTAATTGAATTAAATAGTTCATTGAATAATGTAATTTAGTTTTTATACATGCTATGTCCCACATGACACAATTAGATGACTCTGTACTAAGGGCCATGCTGCTAATAATTTTTGGTTAATTTATAAGCAAGTTAATGTGATAGTTTGGTCAGATCACCTGAATATGGATGGACATTTTATTTCCATGAAAATATTTGAATATAAAAACAGATTTACCATGAAGTTAATGAAGCTTAAGCTCTGGGGCCAATCACTCTTAGACGTCTCTTCTGAAACTTTGTAAGTGGCCCTATTTATGTATTTGCATGGTCATTTTAAATAATTTTTTTTCCTTAAAGAAGCCTGTTCTCAAGTTATGGATGAAGTCTCATAAAACTTGGATTTGTTTTTCCTAGAAAATAAATTTCTTGCCTGTTTACTAGCAGAACTTACTGGACCTGGAGTCAGGAGGCATAACTTAAGCCACACATTTAATACCAACTAGCTATCAGCTGCTAATCATTTTGTTTCTCAAATCATGTGAATTGGGGATGATAATAGCTTTTCCACATATTTGGATTAACTTAGAGCTAAAATGAGATAAATATGGCAATTCCTTGGAAATGTATAGTTTTGCAGAGATTAAACATTATTTCTAATAACAGATACTACTAAGTATTTTAAAAATATGATTCCTCTGGTAATCTAGATACTACATATATAACCATAATAAATGTAAATGTCTCAATCTTTTTTTTTATATTGCATGTAGCAACAGTTACCATTTATTCAGCATCTGTCATGTGTCTGTCACTAGGCTAAATGTTTTATAGGGATATTTAATTTCTAATTAATTATTGATATAATACAAAATAGTATTTATAATTAATTCTATAGGTATAATTCTGAATTATTTATATCCTAAATAATAAATTCTTATTTATTAGTTATAGAATGAATTATTAATAATTTTATCTCATTTAAATTTTAAAATTCATTAGTGTAGCTGTTCCCACTATATAGGAAGAAAGCTGGGGCTTGGACAATATAAATAACCTGTCAAAGGTTATAGTCAAACTCAGGTTTTTCTAATGCACTCTTTATGCTGACCAGTGCTATGTAGAGATATTCATGAGAATAGGTGCAGCATATAATTGTATAACCTTGTATAAGAAATACTATAAGTCTAAACAGTGAATTTTACTGAATTAAATAACAAGATAATTTTTTAAATGGAGGCTAAGTAACTACTTCCTAATTTTTTAAAAAATGAATCTATATTTTATAATTCTATTCCATTTTCAAGTTCTACAAACTTATTTATGCTTTGTTATGGACTGCTTTGCTTTTTCACTTTCCAACTGCATGCGGTACTTCAGAAATGAATGAACATGGCCATATTAGTAGTTCAGTAATTCTCAAATATAAAAGCAATTTCTGGGCTGAGTGTGGTGGCGCACACCTGTAATCCCAGAGGCTTGGGAGGTAGAGGCAGGAGGATTGTGAGTTCAAAGCCAGTCTCAGCAATTTAGCAAGTCGCTAAGCAACTCAGTGAGACACTGTCTTTAAGTAAAATACAAAATAGGGCTGGGGATGTGGCTCAGTGGTCAAGTGCCCTTGAGTTCAATCCCTGGTACTCCTCCCCCACCAAAAAAGCAGTTTCTGTATATTTCTAAATATATAGGCTAGAAATATTTCCTTATTCTAATATAGCATGAAAAAGAAATATTTTCGTTTCTTATACAGATAGGTGGGAAAATCTATTAAGTGTATCTTATAAAATATTAAATTTATCACTCACTATAAAGTATTTGCTCATGTAAAATATACATTTTATTAAATGCAATATTTTTACTAAAATACTATTTTATTTTCATTTTGGAAAATAGAAATGTTTCACAGCATTCTGTGCTTCTCAAATCTAAATAAAGTGCAGTAAATGCAAATAGCAGCTGCAAGATGTTGGAGACCTCAAAAATTTAGCAATGAAGAAATAATTAATAACTTGGACACTGAATTTATAAAGAACTGTTTCTCATATATTATATTATACTTAGATAATATAATATATTTCATATAATGATCAAATTATAATTTGATTTGAGATTGTAAATTCCAGTAAGAGAAACAATAGTGCTTTGATCACTAATATAAATATCATCTTATTCTAGGAATTAATCAGAATATTTTACAAAGAAAGGAAACATACTGTTTTAGTCAGGAAAATGCATTCTTAGCTTGTCTTATATTGTAGAAAGAATATAAGACACAGAATAAGAATCTAGTCCATTACATGTGGATGGGAAATGCAGTGTTCTTTCATATCTCATTAAGACATGTTTTCTGCCCATTAATCTCTTATATACCCATCCCACTAATATATGCCACATCCCATCACCCAGTCTTCTCTTACAGGAATTCATATCATCTGAGTCTTCAAAATTATAGAAAATTGATGCTTTTCAAAAATGTCTATCTTTGTGCTTAAAGTCCACTCTCAGCAAATCTCATTTTACACTCCTGCTATTTTAGGAATCAAGTTTTGGCTATTTAACTTTCCCTAGAATTGACATTATAAAAATGCGCATATGTAGGGAGGACAATTTATATTGCATTGATAGTGTCATCAACATTCTGCCCAACTATTGGTATTCCCACACTTTAAAGAGTCTTTAAAAATAAAAAAAATGTAAATAAAAATGAAGCACCCAACTCAAAACCATGCCAGATACCCCACCAATAGGCACCTCATGTTGGTGTTCCCTCCCCTCTGACTCAGTCCTCTTCCCACCCCAATGCCAATGTCAATAAGCAAACACTTAAATAGGGATCAAACATTGGCAATTTGAAAGTCCTATGTGATCAACATTTCTTTTCCCAAATCATGCAGAACATACCCCATAAACCACTGTTCCAAGGTTGCCTCTACATGGGGGAATTCTCCTATCCCAAAAACCTAGGCCTACCTGTCTGCCACTTAGAGAGGGAAGAGTGGTAGATTGTGCTGCAACTGGCAATGGAGTACACATGCTCCTTTCCTGCTGGAGGCCACTTATACAACCCCATGCCAGCTGTGGGTCATTCTGGGGGACGGGCATATCTTGGATCTGCTGATCACACCTGGCCCATGGTGTGCAGCAATCGCCAGACAGTCTGGCAGGTTGGAGAGTAATCCCACGCTGGCCCCTTTCCCAGGGGGCTTGGCAGGAGAGATCCTGTGGGAGAAGGAATCTCCATTTTCTGGGAGAAAGAGGAGCACTGTAGCAATACTTTTACTTTATCATTTTCTACTTTTGATTTTTTTTTTAATTTAACTCTGGGTAATGCATTTAAAATGACTATCATTAAAATGAGTTTTAAATTCATGAAATAAAACAGTACCAGTCTCATATGAAGCTAAATGGTCACCGTTTCTTCACACAATAAAGCATTCATACTACACTATATACACTCTCATTTTTAAGTTGATGGCATAGGTCAATGGTTCCTTTTCACATTTCAAGAAAATTAAAGGTAAAATGGTGCTAAATTTAGTATACATGTAATGAACCAGAGAAGTGTAATTAATTTAGTGTGAGATTTAAATATATCCATTCATCATATTTCCATGATGATTTATTTAGAAGTTTGTTTGTGCTCTAATTTGTCCAATAGCCAGTGGCATTGGAGATATTCAAATTAGTCAAAGTCAAGTAGTTAGAGATTTTGGGAAAACATTGTTTTACCAAAATATGAATCAATCATATGTAAATAAACATAAGGACAAACCATTCTAAAGTATAATGAACCTACTCTGATTATAAACAAATCTAATCAGGTAACACACAAACAGGGCTTCTAAATAATTGCTTTCATTTACTATATTTTATGTTTTCATTGACACATATACCAGAGTATATTAAATGCACTCCTTTTTTTTTCTTGAATCCTCTGGATATAGAGTTTTAAGAAGAAGCATGTAGTTTTTGACAATTCAATGAAATACAAACATGAATAAGGGGTCCAATATAGAATGCATCATCCATTAGTTCTAGATTTAACATGAAATCCTTAAAAGAGGAACTAAATGTTCCAGAGTTTGGTTGGTTTCTTTCTTTTTATGTTAGCATATTTTTTTCTAGGAATTTACAAGTTAAAAAAAATGTTTCATTGGTTGTTAGATGGTACTAACCAACCACCCAGAAAGAAACATTTTTTAAAACACAAATCTTTAACAAAAAATATCATTTTGGATTGGAAATCCATCTTGGTTTCTCCATAATACTACAGGTATGCCTTGTTGGTAAACACTCAGTTACCTTAGTAATTCTTATAAGGTTCTATAAATAATAGCTAAATAAATAATGCTTAGAAAATATGGGAAGGAGGGGACAGAAAACATGTCACACAATCTGGATTTATTAATAGGATGCATATACAATTACTTAGGTAATTAGACACTAAGAATGAGAGCTGTTAGTATTCATGATGGAAAAAGTGCACAAATAATATTTAAAAATTAATGAGAGATTCAAGATGTTGCCATGAGAATAACATGAAAATCAGGTGTTAATAAAATATAAATAAATTCTGATGACATTTAAAGTCTTATTTATTTATTTTACTTGGTAAAGAAAAGATATTTATTTAGCTCATCATTTTGGAGATCCAAAAGCATAACACCAATATCTTCACAGCTCTGGTTAAAATTCTAAATAACGGAAAAACACAGATTTTAAAATTCGACCACATTACGTGATTTAGATTAGTCCCAATATGGATTTTTTTAAAAAATATGCTTTGAAGTAGGAAAAAATTTTTGAAGTTATTTTCCATAGAAACATCATCTCCTTTAAAATATTAAATTTAATTAATTTAACATTTAATTTAAAATGTTAAATTAAAATGTTAATTTAAAACTTTAATAAAATTGACAAATTTTTCTCAAACATACCTGGGACAGAAACTTTAGCAGATTTAATGTCCCTGAAGCATGCTAATCAGTTAGTCCTTTCATAAATGTGTATTTTATGCTCATACAGTCTGCACAATGCCTTGCGCAGTGATGAAAAGAAAATCATTGCAATGTGTCAGAAGAAATAAGAGTGCTTAGTGGAAGTCCATCACTTGGACTTCTTTTTTAAAAAAACTTTCAGCTTGAATCTCTCCCGCCTTACTGTTCTGTAAGATGGCTTGGGTGGCATATCAAACTTCCTCAGTCAGAACTGGGATATCAGTCTTCTTCTGAAGCACATTAGTGCTTCCAAACTATCAGGCTGCTGTAATGAAAGGTACCGCCATGGGACTTGAAGATGCAACTGACCTTCCAGCAGAGGTCACTCAATTTATCCTACAGTCTATCTGAATAATCACAGTGGAAAAACTGAAAGATGGAGAAGAGAGAAACAAAAGCTAAAAGGTTCACCTTAACTTTCCCAGCGTTTTCATCGTCTTCTTTTTTTTCCTCAAATTCAAAGGCAACGGTCATGCGTTGTTGTCTCTGCTCTTCCCACAGTGTAGGGTTAAAGCTGTCACTGTCTGACTGGAAATCTACAGTTAGATTCCAAAGTATTATTGCTTTTTTCAAAACAGAGTGTTATTAATAGAGTTTAATTACTATGCAAAAAAAGGGGTGACTACTACAAATGAATGCAAAAATAATTACAGGAAAGAAGAAAGCTAGAGAGAGAAGGAATTTGAGGAAGGGAAAAGACAGGAGGAAAGAAAGAGAAAAAAGGAGTAAAATTTCCTTGATATTTGTCACATGGTCTTTTAACATTTAACTCAAGTATAGATTGATTACTTAAGTATACATTAATTACTCAAGGACATTGGGAAGTTGTCTAATGTAGGGAATGGGCTCCCCAGAGGACAACAGTAATAAGACAGAGAGCTGGATAAAATACTCTACACAATCTCTTTTATCCTCACAGGAGTATAACAGTAGTACTAATACATTCTTATTTTCTTAATGATGAAACTACAGTTGAGTTTTAAGATGCTTGCTTTAAGTCATGCAGCTTCTCTGTGATGAACTCAGGATTTTATTCCATATAAATGTGGTCCTATCCACAACCACTAAACGCTCATCAGGATGTTATTTTTCAATGAAAGATTCAACATAAGAACGATTTTGCAATACAGTGCCCATGATTGCAACTTTGTTCTTTGGTGTGTTTGGGAAGAGGCAATGTTTTTGAGGTAGAGAACAAGTAGAAAATTTAGTCTTTAACACTAAGGTTTCAGTTAGTTTAAATATGTCTCAAATTTACAGGAAATATGGTTTATAAATCTTTAATTCACATCAGAATATTGGCTAATAGTAATATTTCTTCACAAGAAAATTCAATTAAATTACTCAGCTTAGGCTACATTCTTTACCAAAGGATAGCTTTTATCTTGTATTTCTTTGTTGTAAGAGATTCTAAAGATTCATTTATTATACTGCTGTCTGACAAACCAAAAGGTCACTTGATTGAATTTCAAGAAAACTTTACAATTAGCAACTTTCTTTCCTCAAAAGAAACAAAATAATAGAACCCAAAATAAGAAACCAAGGAGGCAAATGATTCACTTAGATTTGAAAGTCAAAACACTAAAGCCATTTGTGATACTTTTCTCTCAAAATAAGAAATACATGAGCAAATGGTTTATTGTACATGTTGTTCTCATTCAGGTGGATTGGGTGGATTGAATCCATAGCTAAAGTAAAGAGGGTTTACTCCTACAGGAATCACTGTTACTCTATGACTATAGAAAATGTTCATACCAGCATGTGCTAGATTTCAAATAGTAAAAATTTAAAAATTTTTATGAAAAATGTGAAATTTAATTATTGAGAAAGGTTAAAGTTTTTAAAAAATGTTTTTTCACAGTTGCTGACTTTTTTGGGGGGGAAACTAAACTGGAAAAAGAAAAATAATGATCATTATTTTTAAGTTTTCCCTCCATGGTTAACTAATAACACGACATTTTGGGTGCCTAAGATCACTGAAGTAAATGTTTAAACTGTGTTCATGCAGTAAGTGAACACTGGAAATGAATTAGCCCTTTGAACCTTCCTTAGGTTCTGATAGCTCTCAGCTCATTGCAATTGTTGGATACTACTTTGGTTAACTAGCCCTGTGTCTTGTTGCCAAGAGAAGTGGTGTCTACATGACAACATTATTTTCATGTAAGATATAAAGAGGAAGAGTTTAGTATTTGGAATCTTAAAATACTATAGTGTAGAGACTCATGCTTAAACTTCCAGATGATATATTTGTCTTTTATAATTATCTTTATTAGCTTGCTCATATGCCAATACTCCTGGCCAGAGATCAGAATGAAAATAGCCCTTTTAATGCATCATTATAAATACAGAACACATTTCTATGGACAATTTTTACCTTCATCACCACGAGGTTGCTGGGGAAACATATAGTTAGTCAATACTCTTTGCTTTGTTTCTGGATGGGCTTCCGTTTGTAAAGGGATAAGAGCTTTGGACTGGAAGCAGAAAACACATAAATTAGATGAAAAACGTTGAAAATCTGAATAATATTTATTTTATATAAGATAATGGTCAATAGTCTGACCTCACTAAGATGAATGAAAATTGAAAGAAAAGTGAGTGAAAAATGGAAATAAAGTATACCATAAATAAGACTATTGCCAAGAAATATTTTCAAATTCTAACATTTTTGTAATGAAGTTTTCTTCTTCATTAGTATACATTTTTATAAAACTTACCAAAACCTATTCAGCTAAGAAATGTCAGTTTTAATGCTGATGAGACCAAAATGTGTTAAACTGTTTCAACTTTAGTAAGTTTTTAGTGTAGTCCTACATGCCTATTCATTTTCATAGACAGTTGCCCTGGAAAGAAATGGAATTTGCTATAAAGTTCATCCTATGCAAGATCATCTATTCATTTAGTTAGACTAAAACATAAACATTCATTTATTAAGCATTGAGAAATACTTTTGCAACCAAAAAGAAAAGGTCCACACATAAATAAGCAACTATACATGTGTCTGATGTATCAAGATATATTTATGGTCACAGTTTGTTTTCTACCATTAATTTTATTTTAAAAATAACTATTTATGAATGGCTTTCAGATCTCACATATTATGTATCAGAAATATATTGAAAATGTTCATATTATTAATGTATTGAAAATCTGCTTATTCTGTGATAATTATTAATAGGAGCAAAGCATAAAGGGGATCTACATACCAGCTTTTCTCATGAAACAGTCGGCAATACATTAAATCAGTGTTCAAAATAAAAGTTAAATGATGCAGTTACTGTTCTGTTCCTTCTCACACAACAATAATAAATCGTGATATTAAGTGATGTTTATTTGCAATACGAGACTGCAAAATAGACTGTTTCATTAGCATAGTTCATATTGACTCCAGAGAGGATTTATTTATGTTATATTGATGCTGTAAAAAATCTATAGTTTATTGATAAGACCTGAGTTTGAAAGACAATCTAATTTTTTACTCAATCGATGAAAACAAGTGCTGTAGTGACTGGAGAAATACAAACATTATTCTTACATTTACATTTTACATTTTGTAGAAGATATTTTAAATTTTTCATGTAATAGCTAGGAATATGAACAATCTATTTGTCAGTAGATATTCTTTTATGCTCAGGAAAAAATTGATAAATTAAATACAAGATGGCTTGCTTTCATTTAATCATTTGTATTGGGCATGACTGTTTCAAAATTTTAGAAACACAAAGATAAAGAGGGATAAACTATGTCAATATTATTTCTTTTGTTGGCAAATCAGTTGTCTCCAATTTTTCTTGGTATTTTCCAATTAATAAAATTATTCATAATACTCAATTACTGATTCAATTATAATCTATTTTCATGAACATAAAAATTAATAATAAAACATTTTCACAGAAAATACTGACAATAGTTGCTGAAAGATACTAGCAAGTTTCTTGAATAAAGTTTTAAAATTAAATTGATTATAATTAAAAGCATAAGAAGAAAAGGGAACATAGAGCATAAGAAGCAAAGGGAACATAGAGGATAAGAAATCCCTCTTGTGGGGATTGTGGTAATGGTTTCTTATTCTTTATGCTCAGAGATATAATTAAAATACATTCTCTAAGGACATATGTGTACCACCAGGAGTTAAGAAGCTATAAAAATGATCTTTTTTATGTTTAGATCTCTGATAATGAAGTAGATTATTAAACATAAGTATTTAAAACATAGAGATGGTAGTATAGTACTGTTCTGTCTATGGCATATTTGTACTGCTACCTTTAGAAAAATCTTTTCAGGGGATAAAGAATCTTTATTTTGTATTAACTGTCAAAGATATCAGTGGGAAAGAGCAATTCAAAGTTTCAATTGTAATTCATGTTCACAAATAAAATAAATCATGTAATAAAAGTTTTTACCTGATTGTCAGAAAGCCACAAAGCTGCAAGCTCTTTAAGTTTGGTAAATGAGAATGGTAAATTCTTCAATCTGTAAAAATAAGAAAATTCTAATAGCATAGGTGAAGATGGATGAGTCATATCTAAGAAGAATTTTTTCACATACTATATTGTGACAGTAGAATGAATTAGACATAATTTTCCTATGTGTAACTCCATATCATGTTCAAACACAAGAATGGGATCCTAGTTAGAATAAGTTATACTCCATGTATGTGTAATACACTCTACTGTCAAAACATACTCCGCTGTCATGTATGTCTAAAAAGAATGAACAAATAAATAAATAAAATACTATAATGTGGTTGATTCCATTTTTTTCCTTCAATCCTTTCACCACTCCACTGAGCAGCCTCAATAATCCTCTAAAAGTGAATGTATTTATAAGCCTGCAAAAGCTTCCCATTGTATCAAGATAAAATAAAAAAAAAATTGTTGACATGCATTGTCAGACTTAAACAATCTGGGATCCATAATCCCTCCAGCAGTTGTTCCAGATGCTCATTTCCTGATAGTTCCATCAGCACACTGGCCCTCTATCAGCCTATTATAAGGTTCAACCAAAAAAAAAAAAAATAAGATTCGACCAATTCTTCATCTACAATACAATTCTACCATACTTCATGTGATTAAATCCCACAAGTCTTCTAGTTCTCAGTTTAAATGCCATTTTTTCAAAGAGTTTTTTCCTTCCTTGACTCCTCATTTAAACTACTTTTCTTAATCCAGTTTCCCAGCACTTGGCATTTTCTTTCATAGAACACACTGAAGTATTTACTTAAATTTGATTTTTGTAATTATTTATTTATTGTTTATGGTTTTCCCACAAAACCATAGATTCTGTGAGGGCCAGGGGACCTGTCCGTCTTACTACTAAATAAGTTTACAGTTCCCAAAGTTATGCTGACCTCCAGGGAAAGTGTCCTTTTGTTCTTCTACTCCTGGTGTATTGTATAGAAGATATTCAAAAAAGGAATCTGAAGTGGAGCAAATTATATTCCACGCTTATATGATTATGTCAAAATGAACCCCAATATTGTCTATAACTATAATGCACTCATAAAAACAAAGAAGGGATCTTTAAAAATCACATTTTTTGAGACTCGTGAAGTTTGGCCTCAGCCTTGATATTAAATCAAAATTATATATTTAACTTTGTGTGAAGTTCAGCTTCAGCTTTGATATTCAGTCAATGCTACATATTTAACTTTGGCTTCAGCCTTCGGAAGGCTAAATGCCTACTTCAATATACTACCTTAAATCCTTGAAATTGTGCATGTACATGGTCAACACAATGTGATTACAAAGGTTACTGTCATTGCTAGTCAGCAAAGTGAGTGGTACTAAGTAGCATGCCAATGAGATTTACTGTGTTATCACTTTGGACCATAGAGGAACATGTTAGAAAATGCTTAACTTGGAAAGAAAATTTCCTTAAGTCTTTGACATTGAAATTCTATCAACTAATTGATAAACGTATTTTAATAAGGGAAGAGGAAAATTTACAGTAATTAAAGAGTTAATTGTAGTGCAAAAGCAATTAAGTACTTTCAAATAATTTAATAAATTTGAAGAGATAGTAGATATTAAATTGTATCACATTTTTTTTTCTCATAGAATTACAACTTTAACTTTCAACCAAATTACCCATGAAAGCTGTTTCTAATTTGTAGTTATTTAAGTTCACTCACAGCAGAAATTGTGAAGTAACTTTTATAGAGAATGTTTTTTCACATAATATGGGGATAAATTTAAAGTGGATGTCAATTCTGCTGCATCCAAATTACGTGAGGGGAAAACATGTCCAACACGTACATCCTGTACAACAATATACATGATAAATCATCCTGAATCCAGTGATAAATGTAGAATATGAAAAAAAAAAACTGTTAGAGATGAACAAGGGAACCTCATTTTTCCTTGCTATTTCAGAGGCTTCTGTAGAAGGTGAGCCTCTAATTTTGTATAATAAATATGCAGTACTTTGACCAAGGAGCAAGTTTGCAGCTGACAGGGTGGAAGAATCATTGTTCCTAATTAAAATGTCAAACTTTAAAAAATCTGTTATATTGTAAATACAGAACTGCAGTCATCATTACTTTTGGATAACATTTCTTACTTAAGCTTCTTTCCAAGCAGTTCATTCTCTGATGGTGATGTTGAACTTTGGCCTCAGCTTTGACTGAATATTGATTTTTCCTCTGACTCATTAATTGAAAGTATTAATTGGCTCCATTTTATGTTCCAGTTTTTGTACTAGGGGATACATTAATCAACTATTTTTGGCTTGATGAAGTATTTTAATTCCTGATGTTGTAAGCTCCTCAGTCTATTCCTGTTTTGCCCTAGTAACTAGTAGCATGTCTGGTTCATACTAGGCACTTGAGTCTGCTATATCCATTAATAATCCTTCTGGTTGTGGGGCATTTGTGATATTTGGTAAGCAGATTTGTTATATAATCATACAGACTATTAATGAAAAAAATTGAGCAGAGCAAAAATTTAGGAGAGACTTCTAAAACTCAGCACAATAACCCTCTCTCCCGATTGACACTAATGCTTCTGGTGAGGACTATAATTGAATCTAATAGGAATCTACCTTCCTATGATATTTTCATGACCACATTTCCTAATCTAATTCATTAGAATGCAATTAGAGATTTCAATAAGTGTCTTGAAGAAATTCAGACACAACATTTAAAGCATTCTCTTCATTTCCAGTCTGGTAACTCAGAGAGGAAATAGCATTGTAAGGACATTACTTCCTTTTGATGCACAAAGCTTTGGTGCCTCTTCTTACCTTCATTTATGAATAAAATTCCAAACCTTTTAGTAAAATGTTTTATTCTCTTAGTTGGGAATATTATTTAGTTATTAAGAGAATAAATTTTGAAAATTCACATTACTTTTTTCTTAAGCAAAGTAAGAAGAAAAAAATAACTTTAATGCTTATCCTGAAACTTTCATAAATTTTCCTCATGATTTCACAAAGGCTCACCTTGGACAGTTTCACTCTCTTAGTTCCTTGTACCATCATTGTCTGATTGAATTTACTGAGAATATAGAGTATTTATCCTATTCCTAATCACTTTATCAATTTAATAGTTGTTTCTGGTTAACCTTTATCCTTTCCTATTGGAATGTAATAGTTTTCACAGAGAAAGTGGGAACAAACTATGTAATGTTTTGAAGAACCAACAATAAAAAATTAAAAAAAAAAAAAGAGGAACCGTAGCTTCAGTTTTTCCTTTTACACATCCACCAATATAACATTTTTGTCACAAGAAGAGGCTTACCCCTTTTTTGTTGTTGTTGTTCATTCTGTTTTGAACATGACTGAGTAGCCATTTGGTTTTCCTAACTATAATGTACAGACCTTATGCCTTTGGAGTATGAGTTTACTAGCAATGTTTTTACCAGCACTTTGGTGGAGGTGAAATATACACATTGCCTAATGTGTTGGATACATATATGTGCATAAAAACAAATATATGCATGTATTTTATTTTTTATTTTTGGAACCAGGGATGATTGAACTCAGGGGCACTTGTACACTGAGCCACATCCCCAGCCCTATTTTGTATTTTATTTAGAGACAGAGTCTCACTGAGTTGCTTAACCTGTGGCTTTTGCTGAGTCTGGCTTTGAACTCATGATTCTCCTGCCTCACTCTCTCAAGCTACTGGGATTACAGGCCTGCACTACTGCAGCCAGCTATATGCATATATTTAAAAAATGAATTTGTAGTTATTTATTACAATTATTTTTCCATGTTTTTTGTATTACTATGCTTTCTGCTTTTGGTTACATTTGGTATATAGGTTTTATATAATTTTAACATATAATATACGATTCTGATATAATCATATAACAAAACTTAGAAGTAGTTGGTTTAAAAATAATTTAGTTCTGCTATTGACTACACAAAGCACACATATTTGCATTCCATATGCCTCACAAGATACAGAAATTCTTTCCAAATTATAGGCAAAAAAACTATCATTTGCTTTTAGTAAATAACTAGCATGCAATGGTGAAATGTTGCAAAAATACCTGTTATCACTCAAATTTAAAACTCTCAGTTTCTGCATCTGTCCAATTTCTTCAGGAAGAAATTCCAGCTTATTGGAGCGTAGAGACATAACTGTGACATTCTTACAGCTTCCAATCTATTGGTAACAAAAGAAAATAGGTGAAGAGTAACAATGTAGAGCTGTTGTTATATTAATTTTTCTAATTTACTAAACCAATTAACTCATTGATTTCTCTCACTTTAAACTTTCTTTTAATATGTGTACTATCCTTTTTATAATCTTTTAAAAATATTTATATACATATTTAGATATTAAGGCAATATATACCTCATTATTTTAAATATTAACAAGGAAATATTTTATTAAAAATCTTACTATTAAAATATCTGTCAACACTATTGTTTTTATGAATCAGATTGTTTTTTCTAAGTAAGTAATAATCTCTATGTTTTTAATAGCAGAGCATACATATTCAAAAAATGAAATATTATTGACAGTTCTTTGGCAAAGCTAATTTTATTTCACATTACAATGTTATTTATCACTTTTATTCATAACTTTTGGCTTTAAAATAATGATGCAGTGATTATTTTCCATCATATGGAACTATTTAGTATAAAATGTTAAATTGAAAATATGCTTCACATTCTTTTTTGACATTAGTAAATGAAAGTCTGTTTAGAGGTTAATAATTAACAGAATCTCTTTGTGAATCTGAAAGTTAACATGAAATTAGTATGTAATTGGAAACCTTACAAATATTTATAGCAATAAAAACCCTTTTACTTCAGAAATGGAAATGTCATATCCAAAAGTGTTACTTCTATTGTTCTTAAAAGCAAAATACATAAATTATTTAAAATTGTATTCCTTAGCATTAACTTATATTTATTATACTTATTTTAATATTTATTATAATTATCATATAATGTTTATTATAATTATTTTATTCTTTGTAAGCAATATTTGCATTTTTTCTGGTTTAAATGTAAGAATATTTGTCATTTAAAACAGAATGATTATATAGATAATTCCTATACACATTTGCTCAACTCATGAACCTACTCTGCTATTTCATCTGTTAATATTTCATTTCAAAACACATTAATTAAAAGTTAATTGATGGAAAACCCACTTCTCTGGGTAATTCTGGAAGGAAATTTTCATCAACTGCTAATGTTCGGAGACTGTGAAGGTAGCCAATAGTAGATGGTAGTGATTCCAGTTCATTACAGCTACAGTCGAATTCTTCTAGTAAAGATAAACTGAAAAGTTAAACACAGTAGTTTAGTTATTCCGGCAAAAATTTTTTGCAAAACCACATATCCAATCACCAAACAAAAGTGGTTCATCAAGGTTTACAAAAATATTACATCAATTCATTAATTTTATCAGTTCAGTTGAATGGTCCTATATCATTAAATGAGTGGTTTGATTTGGTAAAATAAATAAGGTTAATTTTTTCCATTTCTGAATTTGTCATTCAGCTGAGCCATTGGAAATTATGAAAGAATTTTTGTTTTTGTGTTTGTTTATAACTTAGTTGTCATTTTTACCCAGAAGTTCAGAATGTGTATCTTGGGATGAGTCCCTAAAATGGCACTGAGTAGGTAGAAGGGTGGTGGAAGGTTCAATAAAGAGAGGATACATGGGGAAAAGCAGTAAAAACAAAAACACTAATGTGATGGTATTTTATTAAGTATTTTAGAGATAGAAAGACCTATTAATCTCTCTCTCTCTTTTTTTTTTAAAAAAAAAAACCCCTCTATTTTGAAACTCATTTTATAAATAAGAAAATTGAGGCTTAAATAGGCTAAGAAACTTTCCAAAAGCCATACAAATTGGCAAATCTGGAACTGAAATCAGATAACATGGCTCTGCTACATTACCCTGCCTGTAGACATGCTTTGTTTGCTTTACCTAGAATTATTAAAAAGTAGTAAATATACACTATTGATCCAGATTTTTGGTGCCCCTTGCAAATTTGGTAATACTAGACCTATAATCTTCCCTGAGAAGCAATGGATACAGAGTTATAACTACTGTCTTCAAATGGGCACAGTCCTTTGGTGGGTCTCCTGTTTGTCACAATCCCTACCACTCTATACTTAAATGCTGTATCCTAGAGCCACAGAAAGGAATCATAGGAGTGAAATAAAATCTTAGAGTAGTTTTGATTAGGATGTGGGGGAAAAGGCACACTCATACATTGCTGGTGGGACTGCAAACTGGTGCAACCAATCTGGAAAGCAATGTGGAGATTCCTTGGAAAACTTGGAACAAAACCACCATCTGACCCAGCTATCCAACTCCTTGGTCTATAACCCAAAGGACTTATAAATAGCATACTACAGTGATGCAGCTACATCAATGTTTATAGCAGCACAATTCACAGTAGCCAAACTGTGGAAGCAACCTAGATGCCTTTCAATAGATGAATGGATTCACAAGACTGTGTATGTTAGGCAAAGAAAGAAACTGTGGCATATATATACACAATGGAATATTACTCAGCAATAAAAGAGAATAAAATTATGGTATTTGCTGATAAATGGATGGAGTTAGAGAATATCATGCTAAGCAAAGTAAGTCAATCCCAAAAAACTAAAGGCTGAATGTTCTCTCTGATAAGTGAATGCTAATCCATACTGGGGTGGGGGGCATGGGATGAGTGGAGAAACTTTTGATTGGTCAAAGGGAAGGGAGAGGAGGAGAGGGGGCATGAGAATAGGAAAGATGAGATGGACATCATTACCCTAGGTACATATATGATTGCATGAATGATGTGACCCTACTTTGTGTACAACCAGAGAAGTGAAAAATTGTGCTCTGTTTGTGTACAATGAATCAAAGAGCATTCTGCTGTCATGAATAACTGATTAGAATAAATAAATAAATAAATAAATGGAATCATAGGAGTGATGTTATTACAAGGAAACAAAAAAAACTTCACTGTCTTTTAGCAACATGTGGGAAACAAAGAGATCTTGGAAGAGAAAAATCACTAGCTATATTTAAATTGCCATTGGTGTTTTAATATTATTACATTGGTATTAGCATTCATACTTTTGCCATTATTGTAGCAGGAAGGAATTCCCAGGGGGAGGAGCCTGCCATCGTAAAGGGAAAAATGAAGTCAATTTGAGTAAGGTTATAGAATCAGCTTTCTTTTTTATATATTGGAAATAGCTAACTTGAATACAGTTTGCTCTCATCATTTATTTAAGAAATGAACTTGAAAATCAAGCATAGGAGCTGAAGTCAGTTTGGTGGATTTAGGCCCTAGCCTTGTCACTTACTGGATATATAATCTTGGGTGTCAACAAATAAAAGAAAGACCACTATAGCTCAGAAAACAAAGCTGCTTTTATTTACCTGCCAGGTAAAGGTACACATAGGGAAGAAAATCCAGTAAGTGGTGCTCTGAGGAGGAAAGTCAGTAAAAAAGTAGGGGTTTTCGAGAGTCTGATTGGGTAACACCATGATTATGTTCACCAAGGATGGAGAACTTGCATTATGAAAAGTATGAAATGGACTCATAGGACTGTGTATGTTAGGCAAATAGAGACCTACTGTCTGTGGGTCAAGAAAACATCCAATACATTTAGGTTCAGTCTGACTCTGTCCAGGGTCACTCAAAGTTCATGATCATTTGAAATTCAACTGGTTAGAACCAGCTATGGCAAAAGGTGGCATTCAACTTTGACTAATAGCTCAAGTGAAATTTTTTCCTTGTACATAGACAAGTCATATAACTTTTAAGTCTCAGTTTCTCTTCATATTTGCAATGTGGATACCAATAATTCCTGCCTCATGTAGTTGCTTTGAATAGTTCATGAAATATTATCAATAAAGTACATAGCATAGTATTAGTCAAAAAAACAAAGTAATTTTTTTCTTTTATTATTAGTGAACCCAATCAAACTTGTTTTTAGATCCACTGAGACACCCCACCCCATAGGGGGTGGTCATGTTCCTGAGGTGCCAGGTGGGCATGCTGTTTGACTCTGTGCATATGTGTATTTGTGGGGGCAAGAATCAACATATGTGGAAAACTCAGTAAATATCTATCTATTTATTAAAAACCCTAACATCATGTCTTATACATCAAATGCATTAATAATTTTTGTAAAATTGCATAGAAGGGGTTTCTACAAATAGCTTGGACTCCTGTATTCAGCAAGTGGTGATGAAAGTGATGGGGCATTTTTATAATAAAAATTTCAATTGTACATTCAAAGGGTGAATTCAAACAAGATATTTTAAAAATAAAAAAAAATGAGGATTCTTGTTTTTTCTTTCTTTTATACAAACATATTTTGAAATTGGTCTTAAGCCACAGTTAGGCAGTCCTCAGTTTTGCTCAGTGACAGTATGCAGGAGTTTCAGTTGTCATAGTTCATTAAAAAACACTTGTTCCCCAATGACATGGTTTAAATTTCAGTTACTTGGTATTTTAACTGTAGTGACTCTATAAAGTATCAAGCTTTCTTCAGTCCACAAATCACAATGTAAATGTGAATAATAGATGAACATCATGATCAATGAACAGTTACATCACTGTCTTCAAAGTTGTGATGGGCCATGCATATCTGTTACTGTGTTCACAGACAGCAAATCATGTATCTGCTATTATGCTCACATATCAACAGCAAATTGTGTTGTCTGTCTTCCAGCAGTAGACAGATAGTATAGGCAAAATAATTTAACTGTTAAAACACTGTTACTGTTGGATACAGCTCTTGGTTGTCCTAATTCTCTTGGAGATTTATGTGAAAATATGAAAATTTTCTACTTATCACAAAAGACAACTTCACTAATCCAGCCAATGGACCATGCAGTTATTTTAACTTTTAAAGCCCATTATCTTACACAGACTTTGGTATAGCCTATTCATGCCACAACTGGCGATTATACAGTTTCATTGCCTGAGTTCTGGATGAAATATGATATGAAACATAAAAATGAAAATATTTGAGCCTCGTGGTAGGAAGTAACAGCAAGTAATATGTGTGTGGCACGGCAGAAATTTTCAGCACACTGTGCAAATAAACTTAGCAGGATTTCAACAGAGTATAAACGGAGTTAGAGAAGACACAGGTGACTGTGGGGCTGTTGACACTGCTCCTGTTAGAGAATCCCAGATAAGCTGCCAGGGGAACTTAGTGAAGGCACGCTTACCCACATGAGTGAGTAAAGTGGTTGAAAGAAGAAGAGGTTTCAGAGTAAGTGACCTAGCAGTACATATCATGCAGAAGGGACTCTCACAGACATTTCACAACACTGGAAGCACAAAGGATAAAAATCTGGAAGCTGCCGGGTGAGGTGACACAGGCTTATAATCCCAAAGACTTGAGAGGCTGACGCAGGAGGATCATAAGTTCAAAGCCAGTCTCAGCAATTTAGCAAAGCCCTAAGCAACTCAGTGAGACTGTGTCTCTAAATAAAATATAAAAAAAAGCTGACAATATGGCTCAGTAGTTAAGTTACTGGGTTCAATCCCCAGTACCAAAAACAAACAAACAAACAAAAACTTATCCAAACTTGAAAAGGACTATAACAATCCACTGATGTTCACCTTGTATCATAACTTATATTATGGAAAGAAGGCAGGTAATGCTCAAGCTAAATTTGGTGTTTTATAAAACAAAACAAATATTACATCTCAGTGTTCCTAGTATTTAAAAATACAGTATACTGAACAAATATTAGTTTTATTATTTCTCGAATCCCCTATATTTATAATGGACAGTATGAGCGTTTAAGGGTATGATAAAAGGTTTAAAGACTTTTTGTGAAAATGATCATAATTTTTCACATTGGTTAAAACCATTTTGCACAGCAGATTACACAATAATTTTTATGATCACTTCAATTTATTGTGATTTATTTATTTATAAGGAATATGTATTTGATATTCAATATGTTCTTGGTACAGACCTCTTAAAATCCTTGGAATCTTCAAAGTAATAAGTGCTTTTCTGTGTACTAATGAGAAGACTTGAGATTAGGGGCTCTTACAGAGCTTCAGGATGGGAGCTGCTTGCCAAGGAAACCAATCATGTCATTAGAAGTTTGAAGTGTCAGTCCCACACCCTGACAACTGGGAAGAGGAGAGAGGCTGAGGTTGAGCTGATCACGAAAGGTCAGTGATGTATAATCACCACACTCACATATAAAGCTTCTATAAGGACCCCAAAAGATGGAGGTTCAGAGAACTTGTGAGTTGCTGATTGCATGAGGTAGGGGGTTCCAGGAAGGTGGT